CTCGTAGGCCCACGCTCAAGCCACTGAGCCACGTCAGCCAGGGCTAGTGAACTAACTTTTAAAACAATCTAAAAAGTAAAAAGTGGTATGAGTGACACCTGAGCAGAGAACTGGCCTGTAAAGTGTTCTGCAGACAGACTCCTTCCTGTAAGAGTGCAAATTAACAGATTGGTGCCTTCTGCCTCCCAGAAAGATTGCTAATAATGTTTTGCTGGTATGTAAACCAGCTGCTAGTGTTTGTTTGAGTTACAGAATGAATAATTGGAAATTATTTGAATATCCTTTTCCCCTTAAGATATTTGTGTGCCATATAGGACTAAAGTTTGGAGATGTTATACAAGTTCATGTATGTATATTAGGTTTTATTTATTTACTTTGAGAGAGATGGGGAGGGAGGGAGAAAGAGAGGAAGAGAAACATCAGCGTGTGGTTGCCTCTCATGTGCTCCCTATTGGGGATCTGGCCTGCAACCCAGGCATGTTCCCTGATTGGGAATCAAACCCGTGACCCTTTGGTTTGCATACTGGCACTCAATCCACTGAGCTGCACCAGCCAGGGTGAAAAGTTTGTATATTTTTAACTGAAGACTTTTAAAAACTTCGCTGAGTTTGTCACCTGCTACGCTCTGGTTTTACTAAGTTACGCAAATTTTTAAACATAAGAGGAGAACAAAATTTAGAAAAACCCACTTTTTGCTAATCTTATTTTATTATCCCCTCTAACACATTTTTTCCCCTTGAGTTTTTATATCAAATCCAAGACATCAGGGTATTCATTTATAATTAGTTTAGCATGTTTAACTGGTAAGGACTTTAAAAAATAAAATTACCATAATGATATTATAACGAACAAAATTACCTTATTTCCTCTTGAATTCTAATTGTCATAACTGGCAAATTATGTAAAATACTTAAATTAAAAACAATTTGATTCTGACTAATAGAAGTTTTTGGTATGGTCTAATTTCTACTTTATTTGATCAAGGCTTACATTTTTGGGGGCTTGTCAGTAGAAAAATACTAAGTTCTGTTTGAGGCTTGTAAAATTACCAAGAGGAAGGATAACACTGAAGTGCCCCTTTCCCTCCAAACTTATTTTACTTAACTGAGTGACCAATGCATATTATTTCTCCTTTTCCTTAAAAATTGATGAATTCCCAAAGTAACAAAATTGGCTTTTAGACCTAAGGCTTTATAAAAGTTTACAACATAACACATAAAAAGGAACTCTAGGATGTTAGAACTTTAGGGGATATTTAGGAGACATGGAAAAGGGCACTGCAGGCAGCATGCATTTCAGACGTTGTTTCACAGTAAAATTGACCCTTTAGCTCTTTAAAAATTTTTACTTAGCCTGGCTTGCATCTTAATGTACATTTCTTCAAATGTACTGTAGAGAATGGGAAGAAACATTTGGTATAGTAAAGCCCTTACCACTTTCCCTGGTGTGTATATTTCCTCTGCAGTCGAGATGCAGTTTGTTCTTTTTCTCAGTATGTTAATGCAGCTACAGTTCCCAAGCATTACCACAAGGTGATGCAGTGACTTTGCACATTACTTCTTCACCGGCTGGTATGTTGTGTCTCTGTAGTGTGCATGTGTGAGCATGCACAGTGTATTGGTCTACCTGTGAATCATCTTGCTACCTTGATATTCTCAGTGAATTTCAACATTTTTATAAGCTTGTCTATCTTTTTCATTCCTTTGTGTAAGGAGGGAAACAGAAGAACTGTATGGGAATTGAAATTTTCATTTTTACTATTTAAAATGGGTTGATTCTTGTAATTACATTCAGATTATATTTATCTATGTTAACTTCTTTATGACTAGAAGATAATGGAATTTAACTTCAAAAAGTAAGGTGATAACAAGAGTGGAATGACTTGTAAAATTACTATAGTTCTGATCACATTGAAATTATTTTAGAGGTTGTTGTGTTGGAGAGGGATTAATGAAGATTATTAACAGGATGACCACAAATTATTTTATTAATACTTTTCAGATTTATAGGCATCATGAATATATTTGAAGTCTGAGGGTTTTGTATCAAAAACTTGAAATCGAAGGGGAGGGCTTAAAATGAAATTTGATGTCAGTATGTTTATTTCAAACAATGAAAATAATACATTTATATATACTGGTAAAAATTTAGTTGTATGTCCTTTTTTCAAACATATCCCTCATGAATAAAGACTATTAACTGTATGGTGAGCACTTTTCATGTCCATTTTAATGCATTATAAGCATATAGACACATAGATAAATATATATGAGATATATGCATACCTTCATGCTGTATTTTATACATTCAGAACTTACCAGTGAAGTAAAAGTGTAAGGGTTAAATCACTATTGTGATTGAGGTTAAATAAGTTTAAACTTCACTGTCTTGTTTTATAACAAATAATTGCAGCTTTGTTAATAGTTTATTTTAGGAAATTAAATTTTAAGAAAAAATGTTTTATTCTTAAATTGCTTTTAATAAAAACATGGAAACTCATTCTGATATTTTTCTCCTGAGTGTATCTTCCTCAGAGAAACTTAAATATTCACTCTTCTTCATAGAAAAATATTACTTTCACTTTCCTCAGTTTAGGTAGATGTATCTATCAGAAGTTGATTCACTTGATTTAGCTGTAGTTTCTCTTATGATATATTTTAATCAGTAGGGAACATTTTTTTAAAAAACTGGACGCTGGAAGGTCTTTGTGAAACCACTGACTTGAAAAGAGATAATCATTAGTGACTTTTATTTTTAGCATCATGACATTACCCTGAGCCCAGATTAGCTCAGACAATTCAAAGAGACGAAGTAATAGAACTCTTCAGTTATTTTAGGCAGAGTTCCCAGTGTTTATAAGTGCTATTTTTTATTTTCTTGACGGTTTGGGGTTACCAGATGGAGAGTATTAGCAGTTAAGTGTTTCTGTGCAATAGGTTGCTGGTAATAAAGCCTTTTTGTTAGTTCAGAGGTAGGGGAGGAGTGCTACTGAGTGTGAGCTCTTTGCTGCTGGATCCGGGCAAACCTCACTCAGGTGGGGAGTCTTAACCAACCAACCTGGTATTCTAACACAACAGTGCCTGCAGGGTTCACCATTGACAGTTTCTTTATGGGATAGCTAATGTATTGTTTTAGTAAAGCAGTACTTTGGTCATAACAGAAGCAGAGAAGACACACAAAGAAAAGGGAATATTTTCTAAAGTGCTTGTTATTTCAGAACCTTAAAAGTTTACCTTAGTATTTCAGGCAGGTCAGCAAAAGGAACAGTTGTAAAAGCACAAGATATTCCTAGCAATAAAGACTGAATACTTGTTAAAATATGAGTGGAGTCTTATTGCTGTGCTTGCTCTGTAGAAACTTAATGATTTGTGAAGCAGATTAGAGTAATTTGGTAAGCAAAAAAAATCTTGCTCCACTTTTCCCCATTATTACAGATAGTCCTGTTTTTTGCAGCTTTGTTAATAGTTTATTTTAGGAAATTAAATTTTAAGAAAAAATGTTTTATTCTTAAATTGCTTTTAATAAAAACATGGAAACTCATTCTGATATTTTTCCTGTTTTTATGACTGTTTTTCCTGTTTTTAGTCCTGTTTTTATGACTTAGAAGCAAGTGGTGTAGACTCACTGATTGTACTGAGTCTGTGGCACATTGTATATATAGAGAGCTTTTTGAAGTAAATCCTCCATTGTATCCTTTTTCTCAAAAGTAGAGCACAAAACAACATTTGAATCTTACAGATATTTATAGTCTACTTCAGCCTTTCACCTGCTATCCAGGGCTTGGTGTTCACTAAGCCAGTGAGCATTAACTGAACCCATAATAGATTTCTACAGTATGTATTTTATGTAAAATATATATACACTTATTTTTTAATCAGTAACTATATGGAAATTAATGGCGGAAAAAACACAAATACTGGTAGAGTGGGATCATTTCAACCCAGGATGAAAGGGGAGAATTGGTATGGGTAGAGAGGAACAAAGGCTGAGCTCTTTTAAGTAGATGGCTACTTTTACATGGCTTGAGAGATCTGAAGAAGCCTGTACCAGGAGCCCAGAAGACAGGCTGTGTTTAGACATCTGTGGAAATGAGTGAGAGATGAGATTGTTGGGTTGGGTCAGAATCTAAGTAGTGTTCTTTGTCCTGACCACTTACAGGATTAAGATTACTTGAAGACATTAAAAGAAAAATGAGGGCATATACACATGCCCATGTCCAGGTCCCATTTCCATAAAGTCATTGTCTTTTTTTTTTTTTTTTAAGATCCCTAATAATTCTAATGTGTAGCCAGGATTGAGAAACATTGGTCCATGATCACAAACATGGGTGAGGAATGCAAGCACTGAGAGATTAGCATCCATTACAGGAACAAACAACCTGAGAGAGGGATGGGGTGGGTCAGAGTAGGGAGGAAGATAATGAAGTTCGAGGGTCCAACATAGACCCTCGACCTGCAACCTTGGTTGCAACAGAAGTAGAGGGCAAGGCTTTCCAGGAGAGTTGATAGTTTGTTTTGATATTGGTTTAAAAGCTTTTTAACTCCCATGTCACTTTCTGAGCCATATTGGACATTCTTTATTTCTTGATTTGTCCGTGTTAGGAGTTCCAGTATTCAAAAGTATGTATCTTCTAAAAAATTATGATTGTTAATACCTATGTAATTTGCATTTAACCCTGTGGCGGTCTAGGCTGATCTGAGAGATACAGACTCTTATCTTAAATATTGTTACATACATCAGATATGTAGATTCAAGGTCATGCCATAGCTGCGAGTTTATATCTGTATGTGACTAATGTTAAGCCATAATGTTTAAACCTATGGTATGATTATAACACGTGCTTCATAAGGATGTGTGATATAAGTTTTTATAAGCTACTGAGGTACATGTGACCTGCACTGTAATTTTTTTGAACGCTGGCCTCTTAATGACACATTTTTTAAAGATGAAAGTTCTTCTTAGTTGGCTATCATTCACCTTGTATGATTTCCTTGTTTCAGATTCATGATGACATCCTTTCAAGAAGTCTCACAGACTTCCAACTTTGCCCATGTCATCTTTCAAAATGTGGCCAAGAGTTATCTTCCTAATGCACACCTAGAATGTCATTATACCTTAACTCCATATATCCATCCACATCCAAAAGATTGGGTTGGTATATTCAAGGTAAGAAAAATTTTCTTTTTATTTCTTCTATCTGGCTACTCGGTATTTTCTTTTAAGCAGGTTGATCAGTAGCTTATAGTAGCTCTTTCTTCACTCTACGTTAAGGGTCATTTTTGTAAGTGGGTCATTTTTATGAATGTCACATGTAAAACATTTATATTTGTAAAGGTAAACATTTTGTATTTAACAGTGGATAGTGTGCATCGAATGGTGGTAACTTGAATCCATGCTTTTCTTTCTTTGACCAAAAGGTTCAGCTTCACTTAAGATCTTAATGAAAAATTTTTTTCAGAATCTTTCCATTTTTTCTTTTTCTTGTCTGAAAAGAAGGGGACAAATAGAGCAGGGAAATGAGATTTGGGGAAGGGCATTCCTGGCAGGAAAATGGACTACATAAGTAAAGGCACCATTTTAAACATATTGGCATCTAGCTACACATAATTACTTATACACGTACAGTGTGTGTTGTAGTAAAGTGCACACATGTGATATTGATGAATGTGGAATTCATTGGGAACATTTCTAATGTGCTTAGAACAGTGCTTAATAAAGATCTCTGTATCTTTATTTTGTTTGCCCACTTATTTCATAGGGCAAGTTCCTGGAAGTGGAATTGACACGTTTTTGGCATTGCATATTTTTGAGCACTTCATGTGTACTGCACATTGCCCGCCATAATGGTTTTGATATGATATGGACAGGCAGGCAGGGAGAAAGTGCCCTGGTAGTAACTGTAAGGAGGAAGGAATGCTTGACAAAGTGGTAAGGAATTTGGTTTGCCTAGGGTACCAGTTTCCGAAGAGGAGTGAGAAAGGTTGGTTTGGATCATGTTTTGGATTGTTTTAATATTTGTCTGAGGAAGTAGTGTTTTTTTTTTTTAAGTCCTCTCTTGAGGATATGTTGATTGATTCATGAGAGAGAGAGAGAGAGAGAGAGAGAGAAACATTGGTTGCATCCTATACACTCCCCGACCAGGGATCAAACATGCAGCCTTTTTGTGCCCTCCAGCTGAGCCACTTGGCCAGGGCAGGAATAACTAGTTTTTAAGCAGACAGTAGTAGAGTTGAGAGGTGAGCTTGAATCTTGCAATGCTGAGTAAGAGAAGTTGCCATTAGAGTAAGAGGCAGAGAGAATGTTTAGATTATCCTAATTTCCTAAGTGAGATAACAAGGGCCTAAAGTAGAAAAGAGCATCAGTTGTAGGTAATTATCCATAAATAGCACTCATAGAATTTGTCAACAGTTAGTTGAATGAATTGGGAATAGGACTCATAGCATGACTTGAATGTATTCAATGAGGAGGAAGGTTTGTGAACCAAGTGTTGGGGATGGCTTGCATATGGAGAAGATCTGATTTCGCTGCTGTGGAAGGCTGTCCTAGGGAATTGGAGCAGATTAATCAGGAGATTGCTGAGCAGCAGTTTTATGACTTTCTCTAGAGAAGTTCAGCACCCAGAATTGTGAATGAAAAATTCCAAGTGGAGTATCATTCACACTGGGAATTGGAGGTGAGTAGTGAATAGGAAGGGAAGTCAGCAGGACAAAGGATCCTAGGGTGGTTTTGGATGCACTACTGAAATGAGTAAGTGACTGCGAAGTCCAGTTGGATAGGGAAATGGGTGAAGTCAGTTAAAGGAGATAGAGAATAGGGTGGAGTTTTTTTTTTTTTAGTTTTTATTCCCTCTTCTCCAGTATTGACTAGTTTCAATTTTAACGGAAATAAACACATAATATGTTCATTACTTTACAAAGATCTTTCATCAGAATATTATAGTCCCCATTTTACAGATCTGGGAACTGAGGTCCAGAGTGAAATGACTTACTCAAGGTTATTAAACTTAGAACTGAGATTTGAACCTCATGTAAACTGGCATTTAGGAATTGTTCTCTGGTAGTCTGGTTAAGGGAAAGATCTGGTTATCCAAAATTAGCAATAGAGTTCCTAGTAAGTTCAGTATGAGTTTTAAGAAGTGCTAGAATTGAAGTAAAAATACAGGAAAAGCCCTGGCTGGCATGGCTCAGTGGTCTGAGTGTGGGCCTGTAAATCAAAAGGTTGCTGGTTTGATTCCCAGTGAGGGCACATGCCTGGGTTGTGGGCAGTGTCCTCACTGGGGGGCCTGCGGGGCTGGCCTTACAGTGATGTTTCCCTCTCTTCCTCCCTTCCCCTCTCTCTAAAAATAAATAAATAAAATCTTAAAACAAATATACTGTAAGTTCGACATACTTATTATGATTTTAACTTCAGGATGCAGTAAAAATATGCTATATCACTCTAATATTAAACTGCTTACTAATAACCTCCATGTTTTTTTCCTTTAGGTTGGGTGGAGTACTGCTCGTGATTATTACACATTTCTGTGGTCCCCTCTGCCTGAACATTATGTGGAAGGGTCAACAGTCAATTGTGTATTAGCATTTCAAGGTAAGAATTGAAACTGCAGAACCTGATGAAATTAGGTGTCCATTTGCCATTGAAAATGGTACACCCATTTTAGGCACACCCAGCATACCACAGTTGAATTAATTAGTATCTGTTTAACAAAAGTCATAAAAATGTAAATGTCTGTTGTAGGCCACATAATATTTTATATTGACATTACAAAGGCTTTTTGCTTGTTAACTTTCATTGAAGAGGGTTAATTTCTCAGCAGCTTTTTACTTCTGAAGGTTTTTTCTAAATGAGAAAACAATGCTATTGTTCATATTAGAAGAACATAACAAATTAAGGTGAGAATAGTCCAGGAGTGAGCAAAAGTAGGTTTACAGTTGTGAGTATGCAGAACAGTTTATTTTTGTATTATTTTCCTTACAAACAACTGTGACCCTACTTTTGCCCACCCCTTTATTCTGCATGAACACCATGAAGATGATTGACAGGATTTATAGAGGGTTTCAATTTAGTATCTGTGCTAATTTAATTAGTACATTAATTTTATAAGGAAATTTGCCTATAAAAGAATAAAAGTGAGTAATGTGAAATTGAATCTTGTCTTAGTTTGCCACTGTGTACAGATTTTAAACAGCACTCGTAGGTATCTGTTACAGAATGTGTTGTAGAGTGATTTTGTGTTATAATTGTACTGACTTTGTGTTGTATGAAAGCAAATTCTTAGTTTTGTGTATGCCATAGATTCTTTTTGGTCTGGTGATGTTAATGGAAACTGTTTCAGTATAATATTTTAGTACACATAAAATGCATGGAATTGCAGGGGATTCCAGTGATATTTCACTGTATGAATGTAGTTTGTTCATCCATTCGTCATTAAAGGACGTCTTAGTTGTTTCCAAGTTTTGGTATTCATAAAGCTGCTGCAAGCACTCATGCACAGGTTTTTGTGTGGATGGAAGTTTTCAGCTCATTTGGGTAAATACTAAGGAATGTGATTCTGCATCATATTTTAAGAGTATGTTTTGTTTTGTAAGAAACTATCAAATTATTTTCTAGAGTGCCTGTACCATTTGTATTCTGCCAGCAATGATGGAAAGTTCTTGTTGCTTTACATCTTTGCCAGCATTTGCTACTACCAGTGTTTCGTATTTTGGTGGTTTATGTTTTTTAGTTTTTTTTTATTCTGTGGTTTGTGCTGTATATGTTTGGTGTGAACATCAGTTGGCAATGTAACCACATGAAGCTTGGGTATATAAAAATATTTCCTTACGTACTGTGTCAAGAAACCAGTATTCAGAGGATAAAATTTGTACTGTAATATAGGCAGAGATTTACATTCCTGTATGTTTTATGGGTTAATAAATGTTACAAATTATATGTAAAGTTTATCTTTTAATTCGTAGTGTTTTTTTTAAGATAATCAAATTAAAGTGAGTATATTGGAACTGATTTTATTATAATTCTTGTTCTTAAAAGTTATTTTAAATATAATTAGTCTTGTAATAAATAAGTTAACTTACTGAATGTATTATATTGACTTATGAATTTGTTTATTAGTTACTTAGCAAAAAGTTTAAGAGCAGTAAAACAAAAAGAAAAGCCTCCAGTTTATTTCTGTTCATACTTTAAAAGCATTTTCATGGGAGCTAAGCATAAGTGCAGTAAGTTTTACAAGTTTCTGAAAATTCATCCTGTTAAGTTTTACTTTGAAATTGAGAATTAAAAGCTTCTCTCCACCTAGAACTTGTTATATAAAAAAGGCAGAATAGTCATAAGAAACTTATCTATAATATTAGAGCAAAAACAGATTTTAAGTACAAACCAAGTCACTTTGTTCATTTTATGGATAAGTCATGAGAATCCTAAAATGCAAAACTCAAAACCACTAACAGAAATACATAAATGTAATTGTTTCTTAAACAGATCCTTATTTGTTTATTATAATTTGATTGCTAATGAAATGTCACAGGCTATAAAATCTGGCTCAGAGCTTGGTCTTTACTTTTTCCTATTTTGTTTAAGATTTTATTATTCATTTTTAGAGAGATGAGAAGAGAGGGAGAGAAACATCGATGTGTGAGAGATACATCAGTTGGTTGCCTCTTACACGCGCCCAGCTGGGGGGGGGACCTGGCCCACAATCCAGGCCTGTGCCCTGACTGGGAATTGACCTGGTGACCCTTTGGTTCTAAGGCCGGTGCTCAATCCACTGAGTGACACCAGCCAGGGCTTTCCTATTTTATTTTTGGTGTTATTAATTTGATAGGAGCATTGTTTAGATAGCTGTATTACTGTTATTTTTTTAATCCTCACTTGAATACATGCCCATTGCTTCTAGAGAGAGGGGAGGGGAGGGAGAGAAACATTGATTCGAGACAGAAACATCAATCTGTTGCCTCTGGTGTGTGCTCAGACCAGGGACCTGAACCCAAAATCTAGGCATCTGTCCCGACTGGGAATTGAACCCATAACCTTTGGGTTTACCCAACAACCAGCTGAGCCACAGCAGCCAGGACTTTTAGAGATCGTTTTAAGTTGCAACTCTGAATAACTACATCTTGTTTCTCAAATGGTATTTGAACCACATTTTTTAGTATTTTTGTAAGTTTTTAAGAGTGGACCGTGATTATTTAGTTTGTAGCATTTCTGTTATCATGATACCAGGGCTGATTAGTCAGACTACATTTTTGTTTTCTATTTAAACTTTCAAAATAAGTCTAGTGGTCTTATTTGCAAAGTTAAAAACTGTCTTGCCAGATGTACCTCTATATTACTCTTCTAAAAACTTTATATTTGCAGTAGTTTTAGATGTAAAGCTGCAAAACTAATACACAGAGTTAACCTATACTCTTTAACCAGCTTCTGTTAACTTTAACATCTTGTATAACCGCAGTACATTTATTTAAAAAACCAAGAAGTTAACATTGGTGGAATACGTTTGACTAAAGTACAAACCTCATTCAAATTTCACAAAATTCCTAGTGGTATTCTTCTCTGTTCTTGTTTTTAATCCCAAACCCCACATTACATTTAGTTGTTGTATCTTGTTGGTCTCTTCCAGTCTGTGACAGTTCCTCATTCTGTCCTGCCTTTCATGACCTTGACAGTTTTGAATAGTACAGGTCAGTTTTTAGATTTCCTGTCCTCCTTTTGTTTTCTTTTGATAGCTTGTTTCTTATTTTGGGTTTGTCTGATGCTTTGTCGTGATTGCATTGAGGTTATACATTTTTAGGAAGAACACCATAGAACTAACGTTGTACCCTTCTCAGTGTGTTGTATCAGGGAGTACATAATATACATAATATACTCCCTGATACAACACACTGAGAAGGGTACAACCTTAGTTCTATTACCGGTGATGCAAATCTTGATCGCTTGGTTAAGGTGTGTCTACTGGGTTTTTTCAGTGTAAAGTTAGTATTTTTCTCTTTGTTGTAATTAATGGCTATTATGGAGGAGCTACATTGAGACTAAAGAAGTATCTTGTTTCTCCTCAAACTTTCACTACTTCTTTTAGGATCCATCACTGAATATCGCTTACATTTATTGTTGTGTTTGCCTAATGATGCTCTTGTATTCTGAGTCTTTGCATATTTATTAGTTGGAATTATGTTAGGAAGAGTCCCCCTCTCCATGGACTTCATAGATATTTAGTCTATGGAATGAAGTCTGATACTATCATTTTTGTTGCTCAAATTTTTCTAGCTTTCTTTGGTCATAGGGAACTTTGTCAAGAGGGCTTCTGTGTTTTTTTCAACATTCCTCTTCTCTCCCTGTTCTTTTTAAAGGACTTCTTACTTTCAAGCACCAGATGATGGTCTAGATTTGCCTTGTATTTTTTCTGCCCCTCCCTCTTCTTTCTAAAAAGAAAGGCCAGCTATTTTTAAAAGAATGAAATCAAGTGAAATAGATACCATAATAATGATACTGAAAATTTTTAGGTATAAAAGAATAATAGGCACAGTGATTACAGATTTCTGAGTAGATAGTAATATCCAGCATAAGGTGAATACGTTCATTTTTGTATGTTCATTTCACAATCACTTAATGCTTCCTTTTTATTTTTACAAGTCATTCTGGGGGGTTCCAGAATTTTTATATTATATATCTGTCTTCAGTATTTCTGAGGTCTTGGTATAGGATATAAAACATGTATATAATGAATAGTAATACAAGGTATTCTGTGGAATCCCCCCCCCCCACTTTTTAATGTAAAGAATCATGGGAGCTTTGCAGAGGAAGTAGATTGATATCGTGCTAGGGTAATCCAGCAAAATTTAAGAGAGAAGATAACAATTGAGTTGAAGAAAGAAGGGACAAATGCTGAACGTATATTTGTCAGGTAGTGGGCTAGGTGGTATAAATACATTATTTGTAGATACTTGGGAACTCCAAGATGGATGTCTTTGTGTGTCTTTTACAGATAAGAAGCTCTGGGGCTCTGGGAGGTTAAGTAAATATTAGCGGTAGAGCTGGAATCCAGAATAAATCTGTGTAGTTCCAAAGCGCTTTTTTTTTTTTTTAAGATTTTATTTATTTATTTTTAGAGGGGAAGGGAAAGAGAGAGGGAGAGAAATGTCAATGTATGGTTGCCTCTTGTGTGTCCCCTGTTGGGAACTGGCCTGCAACCCAGGCATGTGCCCTGACTGGGAATCCAACCGAGGTTGTTTGTTTTACAGGCCTGTGCTCAATCCACTGAGCTACGCCAGCCAGGGCCCAAAGCCCTTTATTTTTGTTACACAGCATCATGAGACCTCATTCTCTTTTCTGTCATTACACAGTTCATATGTGTAGCACATTCCTTTTGTAAATATCTCCCTTTTACATGTAATGCATTGACGGGAGATTTCTTGAAATGGTGTATTCTCACCCCTAATAATCCTCCTAGATTTTTGTGCTGGTTCTTCCTGTGCTTTTCCTCCAACCTTCCTGTCATTGAAAACTACATACTCGACCCTCTCTCTCATGACTTAGTTTTGCTCTTAGTGAAGATTTGTGGAAAGAATATTCTGGGGGTGTAAGCTTATACCCAAGATAAGAAAACTTAGACATGTTAAGGGAAGAAAGGATGATAGTCCAGTTTGGATAATTTATGCAAGACAGGAAAGACATACCCTAAATGCCTAGAACAGGGTCAGGAATGAGAGGAGTTGGCAAGTATTATTAAGTTAAATAAAAAGAACATATTATTAAAGGAAACTTAATAATTTTTGTTTGTTAACTCTCTTTTAGGATATTACCTTCCAAATGACGATGGAGAATTTTATCAGTTCTGTTATGTTACCCATAAGGGTGAAATTCGTGGAGCAAGTACACCTTTCCAGTTTCGAGCTTCTTCTCCAGTTGAAGAGTTGCTGACTATGGAAGATGAAGGAAATTCGGACATGCTGGTGGTGACCACCAAAGCTGGCCTTCTCGAGGTTGGTGCCAACAGTGAGCTAGTGATTTGTAGACACTTCTAAAAACAGAGCATGTAAGAGCATGTGTTCCTTGCGTTTTAAGAATTCTCAGGTTATGTAAGAGTATAACCTAAAGAGAAAATGCTTTTTAACTAAAATAAAGTTAGTATGTTATTTTTGAAATACTTTAAAAGTCTGTCACAATTACATTGAGTTCACTGTGGCCAGGACTGTCCCCAGGGCCTGTCAGTGTTTTGTGTATAGTAGTTGTGCAGTAACTGAGAGAATTTAGACCTAAAGCTTTCCTGACTAACCTTTCCCTCCCACTAACCTTTCTCCTTTGTTGGTGGCCTAATCCATTAATTGTAGAATAGAATAGTGCAGATTTGGAGAGGGACGCTAGAGGGAAAGGGGTGTAGAGCAGTAAACCAATCATTGGTTGTGAACTTTATTTGACTGTACCATGGATATGCTCCATCCCAAGTGTGGCAGTGAATCAGGGAAGCATCCCCATCTCTTAGGTTGAGGTTGAACATTTTTAGAATGATTTTTTTCCTTATCATCTGATCAAATGAATAAGCTTGGATTAACCACAGTTAAAAAAAGAAGGTGTGAAGCTTCTTACTATTTTTTAATTGAATATTTTGGAGTCATTGCATTGGCGCCAATAGAAATTTACTCTGCATATGATCTAATAATGCCTTAGGTCTTAATTTTTAGTAGTTACTGAAGAAGAAAATGGAACGTTCTTATTTCAAGATATTTCTCAATGTCTTATCCTATACCCACTAGAGCGTTACATTTGCATTTCTGTCAAAAACTGCTGCTTTAGTTGGTTCAGCATATATTTTTGGTTAATTTATATTCACATTTAGTCTGTGACAGGTCATTGCTTTTTATTTATAGTCAAATGAATTTTTATATGTAAATATTTTATGCCTTTGATTTTATCTTACTTACAATCAGAAACTGAGGTTAGAGGAAAAAAGACAAGAGGTTATAGCTAAACTATTTTAAATAAGGCAGTTGAACTAAGATGACTTGAAGGAACCAATCATTTGTTGTGAATTCTTCCGTATCTTTCCTCCCCCCTTCCAGAATTCTTCTCTTATCTTAAATAAAGAAATGTAACTTTTATGGGGTGCCTAAAACATTTTGTGTTGACAAGTGCTCGATGATCAAGGTTTTTAGCCTGGTATTAGAATGCTGGTCAAAGATACTGAAACAAGCCCAGCTTGTAAGAAGAATGCAGTTAGTTTATATTGCAGTGTTTTTGAATACTTGTGAGACCACCCTGATGTCAAGGCTGCAGACAGAGATTGGGCATTTTGGCATCAGCATCTCTCTCTCTTGTACACTCCTTCTAAGTAAATTGGGACGCTGTTAATTTATTTCACGTCTTCCTACTTATAAAGAAAATGTAAATTGCCATCTCTTAGGGAAATATTTTTTAGATAAAATATTTTTATATTCTGACCAATTTTTGGACAAGTCTTAAGTTTCCATGCTCATCTTCCTGGCTGGATGGCTCAGCTGGTTGGAGCATCGTTCTGTGCACCAGTGTTGTGGATTCTATCCTGTCAGGCCACATACCTAAGTTGTGGGTTTGATTCCTGGTTGGGACCACCTTCGGGAGGCAACCCATCAAATGTTTCTCTTTCTCCCCTCCTCCTCTCAAATTAACAAAAACATGAGGATTTAAAAAGAAATTCCACATTCATCAAAATCTTTAATGATTTGTAGCTAAAACTGCACAAAGTTAGTACTAATGAGACATTACCAAGGTACTGTTGACCTTGTAAGTGATTAATGAAGCCTTCAACATGTGAATCTTGACTGGATCCTAGATTTTTTTTTTAAATTGATATTTTAGGTATAGTTAAGGGATATTTAACTATGGACTGTCCACTAGATGTTATAAAATCACTCATTTCTTAGTTATTATAATGGTAACAGTTGAAGAGGAAACTTACTGGGAGGTGCTTGCTCTGAGATCTTAGGGATGAAGTGGCAGTGATTTTGTTTCAAATGGTTTATTTCCCCCCCCATTACATAAATAAACTTAAGTACTGAATATAAAGGGAGATAAAATAAACATGGCAGAATATTAATGAATTTAGGTGATGGGTGTTTGGGTGTTCATTGTAAAATTTTAAGTACTATATGCTTGAAAGATTGAGGGCAGAAATTTGACTTTTATACATTTTTATCTAATTTGAATTTCTTTTAAAAACGTCTACTTAAGGTTCAGTAAACTCTTCAGCTAGTAAATGCCAATTAAATGAATTACTGGGGAAAAGTGGTTCTTTTATAATGTTTCCTTTGCACTATATCAAGATGTATTTATATTTTTAAGATGTCAAAGTTTAGAGGCAAAAATCATTTCTTTCAAAAAATAGGTAAGGCATGAAAGAAGTTCAGTGAATAAATCAAGTTTTCTCTTTTGAGGACATTTATTCCTGTTATTTTCATTTGGTGTGATGAATAAGGTAGAAGGGTCATTCTAAACATTTTTCAACATTCAGTTTTCATAAAAGCTACTTTAGGGTTTAGTCAGTTTGTTCCCGTGACCCTGGAAAACTGACTTGAGGTGCACCATTACTGTGGGAAAGCATTGCATTGTAGTGACGCCGCCTCTGTGAAGCCTTTCCTCCGAATGTGCAGTCTTCCCATTAGCATCAGCAGTTTCTGATTGTAAGAGAAGTATTAACCATTTTAGGTCTCTTAATTTAGGAATATTTTAGAATATTGGAGTTTAAATTTCCTGAACTTAGTAACTATTAATGTTCCCATGATAATCACTTATATTAATATATCATTACAGTTTGCATTTTAGTACTAAAATTTGCATTTACTTCTAAAGTTTGTTTTAGTTTAGCCAAATAAAGGCCATTATATATAGACATTTATTACCTTACATAGTACCTTACAGAACCAGGCCTTTTAATAGTAACCCCATAGTTGAAGGCCTTATATAACACAAAGAAGTTCTTAATGGATTCAGCAGTTTTCCATAAATTTGCATTCAAGAAGAAATACACATTTTCTAATTGATTGTTATTTGAGATAAGAAAAGCCCAGAGTCATTTCTGAAACTTGATGCTTTCTTTTTAGTGCTATTTTGAAAACTAATTAGTATGAAATTTCATAACAAGATTATGTACTAAGTAAAATTTTGTACTTTAAATTTTTTCTTCTTTGCCCAACCAAAAGGAGGTCTAAATTTATGATCCATGAACTTTTGTACCTGAATGTTAAACAAGGTTGATTGACATAAAGTATATGTAACCATTCTTTCTGTGAATTTCTTTACTATTTTTTGAAATGGAAAATAGTTTGTAACATATGGGAGGCAATAAATGGTAATGGAAAAGTACAATAAAACATTTTTTTTAATTTAAATTTTTTATTTTACAGTTGAAAATTGAGAAAACCATGAAAGAAAAAGAAGAACTGTTAAAGTTAATTGCTGTTCTGGAAAAAGAAACAACACAACTTCGAGAACAAGTCGAAAGAGTGGAAAAAGAACTTAACCATGAAAAAGAAAGATGTGACCAGCTTCAGGCAGAGCAAAAGGTTAGTTGTGTCTTATGTAACTGCTAGAAGTTGATACAGTACATTACCTGAAACCCACTTTTTCCAAAAATTGAACCAGTTAAAGTGAGTGAAAACCCTGTGTTGGGAGAAAAAAAAAAAAAAAAGCAGTCAGATATTTATTCAAAAAACAGGTCGGTTTCTGTCAGCCTCTGCCATGGCTGCTTTTATGTTGTAAATGATTAAAATTTTGGATTTTTGGTACAAGGCTTGATGATATAGTGCCTGACAACTATTTCTAGATGCTTAACATCTACTTGTAGGGTATTTGATTAATTTTGAGGTTAGGGGTTGGAAAGATAATTAGGAATGATAAACACTGAATAAGGGAAAACAGAATAAAGTAGTTGTTACTTTTCCAAAAAGCAGAATTCAGCGAAATGAGATATTGTATTAGACAGAATTTTGAAATCCTTGATGTGAGAAATTCTATAAATTATCCTAAAAACATCTAATTAATTAGTGCATTTTTTTGAGCTAAGAAAAAGAGAAGTGTAAGTATAAAATAGTGTGATTTCTTTTGAGACAAATGGATTTTAGTGGCTGAAAAGAAATGAATAGTGGCTGCATAACTTAGTCATTGACTTATTTGTTCACTATTTTCTCAAGATAAGTAATTTGTTTGTTTTGACAAACTTAGATGGGTTGTGACTACATTTCTCACTTTAACTCACCAGATACATTGTACTTACGTCTGTTGACAGGACTGACCTATCACTCCCTAAGGGTGGGATCTGTTCCGTTGTTCTTTAACAAGGCCTAGAGTAGTTAATAATAATCGTTCATTGAACCATTAGAGCAGTGATTCTCAACAATTGTACTGCTCTGGTGCAGTGGTTGTATTTTGAACACCTCTGCAGAGATGCTGTTCTGAAAAGATTTCTCTTGTCTTATTCTATTTGGGATTCCTCTTTGGAGTTAGAGGGTAAATAATGTGTACAATTTTAAATCTCCTTATAAATGTGTGTGACCTTCTACCTATATTAGCTTTATATTAGCTTATATTAACTTTAGCTTTATATTAGCTTATATTAACTTTAGCCTTTTTAGTGTAAGATACGTAGTTATTCTCCCAGTTTTATACGGGAAACACTTGGAATCCTGCAGTTGGAGTATCCTGCAATAGGAGAAGGATATTCTCGTTGGTTAAGGAACCACTTTTTTAATTTGAACTTTTAAAGCAGGTATGTTAAGTATTAAAATTTAATAAAATCTCATCATATGTGCCTGCCTTGACTCTTAGGGCGTTCAGCTAAATTTTTATATTTGTTTCCGCTTCTTTGAATGTTTGTTCATACCTCTGAGTCACAGTGGCAAGAAGTGTGTTAACCTTGGTAGTATCATATGGAACCTGATTTGTCATTGGGGTAACACTGAAAAGTAAAATGTGAAAAATGAAAATGACTAAAAATTTTTCCCCCTTATTTTTGTTTTCTGACCCTCTGGTGGAGAAGTTTGTGAAATCAACAAACAGGATGTAGGAAAAAATGCAGGGGGGAAATTGCTTAATTTAGTATATGTAAATTTTACCATTTCAGGTCTAGTATTTACTCTTACAAACTTTTGATGGAGATTAACATTTAAGAGTACATAGATTTTTTTAAAGATGCATGTTTGTTTTACTAATTATGTTTCTCAAAATACTTTTTGTTTCTAAGGAACTTACTGAAGTTTCAGAAAATTTAAAAATGGAAAATGAAGAACTTAAGAGGGGATACAATTACGCTACATCCAAAGCTGTCAAGCTTGAGGAAGATATTGTGTTAGTGACAAATAAAGCAATTGAAAAGGAAACTGAGTTGGACAGGTATTTCTGACACTTTATTGTTTTAAAGATCGTATTTATTTGTTTTTAGACAGGGGAAGGAAGGGAGAGAAACATCAAGGTGTGGTTGCCTCTGGTGCGCCCCCTACTGGAGACTTGACCCTGCAACCCAGGCATGTGCCCCAACTGGGAATCAAACCAACAACCCCTTTTGGTTCGCAGGCTGGCACTCAGTCCATTGAACCACACTAGCCAGGGCATTTCTGACATTTTTAAAAGATGCTTTTATGTTTTAAAAGTGTTATAGTTAACAAAGTTTTTTTTCTTTTATGCTAATGTTATTTTACCTTAACTCAGTTTAAAGGACAAACTCAGGAAGGCACAGTGTGAACGAGAACAGCTTGAATATCAGTTGAAGACAGAAAAGGAGGAGAAGGAACTTTATAAGGTAATTTAGTTTTTCTATTTTTATTATCTATTGTTGTGTAAGAAGCTACTCTAGCACTTACTTAGTGTCAGAAATTTGGGAGCAGCTCAGTTGAGCTGTTGCAGCTCAGGTTCTCTTGTGTGGTTGCAGTTGGGGTGTCGGCTCTGACTGCAGTTACCTTGTGGCTTGGTGGGAACTGGAAAATTTGCCATTAGGGTGGCTTAGTCACGTGACTTCAGTTCCTTGCTGTGTGGCCTCTCCATTCGCTGCATGACGTGTCCTTACAACAAGACAATCAACTTCTGCCGGTGCGTGAGCTATGCAAGAGGGCAAGGAGGAAGTTGGTGTGTGTGTGGTGAGCTAGTCTCCAAAGCTGTGTGTTGAAGCTAGTCACCTGGTCTAGCTGATGGCTCAAGGAGAGGGGCATAGGTCGCATGTCTGGAAGAGAGGAGTGTCAAAGGATTTGAAGATGTATTTTAAAACTAGTGCATTGTGTATAGTTCATAAAAGTTAGCTTTCAGGGAATTAATTTGCTGGTGGTTTAGATAGTTAGCAGGTAATATATAATAACTCAAAGAGGTTTAATGATGACAGGATACCTGTTCACCAGAATTTATATAACCAGTTAGTTTCCTCCTGTAGGAACCCCAGACCTTAAGGGGAGAGTCTTACTTTATTTTAGCGGTGAATGTCACATTTTAGAGTTTGGCTTTTGGACTAGTCTTCAAGGACTGTCATTTCAAAAAGGATACTCTCACTGATGACAAACATTTATCTTTTATATATTTTCTTCTTCAGTGATTCTGAAGTATTTATCTGAATTGTCAGTAATGTTGTAGATGCAAATTGAGAGTTACTTAAGTGGCTCATAAGCAGTTCCTGATAGTAGAATGGTGAAGAATTTCAAGAACATTCAGTACTATCTGGATAGATCTGGCTATATCTGATCTTTTTATTAGATTAGAAAAGAACAGTGTTTTTATTAAGGATAAAAAGATAACACTGCAAACAGGCAGTATTTGAGAGTCACTATTTGTACTGAGAAACTAGAATATGATTTGTTGTATTGCCACTGGGTTGTTTCTCCTTATTTTTGGTGGTGGCAGTTTTTTAAAAGGTAAAGTGTTGAGTCTGTGGGTGGGGCAGGTTAGAGGAGAGCATGGATAGGGAAGTTTGGCTTGTCCTGGGTTAAAACCGGTCTATTTCTCACGACAATTGGACAACTGCTTGAGTTGGAGTGTGCACGTGTGTGTATTTACCACTTTTAGAACAGGAGGAAAAATAGTTGAAGATTCACTGGTGGGTGATTTTATGATTTGACTTTTAAAAAGTATGCAGAAATGTTTATTTTTTTAAACAAGATTTTGTAAAAAGGGGAAATAAAACATAATATAGAGGAAGAATGGATGTATGCAATTGGATTACCATTTATATGATGTTTTTGCAAACCCCCTCGAATGCAGTTTTTTAAAAATTATAGTGCATTTTTTAAGTCAGTGAAAATTTGGCACCTGTAATAATTTTTAATTTAATGTTATGAATTTCAGTGAGAATGTTGCAGTTTTGTTGCCAGAAGACCTGGGCTTTATTTCTCTGGATAATTAAGTGCTTTCTGTGTTGTTTTTCTGTTAGCACAGTAGGAGATAATAAGATTAATAGGATGTTTGTGTCTTTATTTTAATTCAGCTATAAAGTGAATCCTTAACAATACACTGCTTAGTATTGAGAAGTGAGCCAGTGTCATGATACCTAGGATGACTTAGTTTGGAAAGAGGAGGATAACCCTGCCTCTAAGCTGTCAACTTTCAGCTGCCTTTCTTTCCCTCTTCTGTTCTGAGAACAGCGTGGGTATTTTATAGAGGGTTGGCAACCACATTTTAGGGTGAATTCAGCATTTTTTTCTTTTCTATTCTAAATTATTTGTCCCTTATCTTATAGCTTTCCCCACTTTCTGCAAACACTTTCCATGTGTCTGTTGGCCACCTCAGTGACAATGACAAGTCCTTTGCAAAGGACTTGGCAGGGAGGAAAGAAGGGCAAGAATAAAGTGTCTTGGAGATTTATTCTTTTACACTCTTCTAATGTCTTTAGGTTTCTGTAAGCATTAGAAGTTGGAATCAAAGTGACATTGAACTTTCCATTTGAGTGCACTCTCAGACAGCACCCCCCAAGTGTTCTCGGAATAGTATTTTATTTGTATTGTGTGTACCCTGAAAATTGGAAGTAAAACTCTTCCTTAGGGATTTTTGTTTTGTGTTATTTTGGCAAGGAGATTCCATTTACTGAGTTTGATAAAACTTAACATTCTTAACTTCAGAATTTCCCATGCAAGTTGTTCACTTGAACTCCAAAGAGATTCCTTTTTTCTCCTTCCTCTAGCCCCTGTTGGATCCTGTGACCCATTACTGCCCTATCAGAATTTAGAGGAATTGGTAGAACACTTTCATGAGCTAATGACTATGAAAATTAGGTAGCGTTTTTAAAGTGATGCTGCAGAGGTGTTGGCTGCTGAGCCTTTCAGAGAACCCAGAGTTACATTCTGTCCTTGTGAACAGAAATTAGTCTTTCAGCATTCTGTACATTTAAAGAGTAAAGTGCAAGAATTATGTTAATTCATTTATCTGTGGTACTCTTAACCAAAGCAAGATAATCCTTTATAGTGGAAACTATGTGTGTACTCTTTATAATTTTAGTTAATGGAATTTGATTTGTATATCTGTTGTGAGCAAATGAGGAGCCACAGCCAAAGTTCCTAGGGAAAATCTATTGGTGTGATTAATCAGCAAATTAATATTTTTCAGCACACACAGAAGTCAGTGATACGGTAGTTTTCACAAGCAGAAGTTGAATTGCTTAAGATGTTTTCTAAAATCTCATTATGTCTTTATATCTGAATATGTCTGTAACATCTGTTTCTCCAGAAGAACAACCAAATTCATTTTCAGTTTATAAAAAAGATTTTATTTATTTATAGAGAGTGGAGAAGGGAAGGAGAAGGAGTGAAACATCAGTGTGAAGTTAGTTGCCTTTCACATGCCCCCTCCTGGGGACCTGGCCTGTAACCCAGGCATGTGCCCTGATTGGGAACTGAATCCATTTGTGATTTTTTAAAAAGAGAACTTAAAATCATTAAAGGCAGAGACTTTAGAGATCAAGTAATAGTGTTCTAGCTTAGAATTACTAGTCTTTGTGGAAAGTTTAAAGAAAAAATAGCTGAGCTAGTCACTTTGTCTGACTTGGGTCCCTGTCTCTGAGTCTAGTGAGTCTCCCCGTGCCTGAATCATATTCGGGTTAGAGATGAGTAGTGGTAGTATTTGAAACTTTGACTTGGGTTATGGAGTTAGAATATTCTTGACATTTTCAAGCACTCTTACAGGTACATTTGAAGAATAGAGAAATAGAAAATACCAAACTTGTGTCAGAGGTCCAGACTTTAAAGAATTTAGATGGAAACAAAGAAAACATGATCACTCATTTCAAAGAAGAGATCAGCAGACTGCAGTTCTGTTTGGCTGAAAAGGACAGCCTGCAAAGGGCCTACTTGCTTACCACCGCAAGTAAGGTGAGTGCTTCTGCAGCATGCATCGAGTATTGGAAAAGGTTTTCTCTGTTAAATGTATACAGTCTGGTGGTTTCTGGTTTTTATTGAGTTTATTGGGGTGACATTAGTTAATAAAATTATGGGTTTCAGGTATATAATTCTATAATACATGGTTTCAGGTGTATAATTCTATAGTACATGGTGGTTTCTATTTTTAATCTTTTCTCCCCCAGCCTTTTCTTTTGAAGACGTTTAAACTTGTACAAAAGGTTGGAAGAACAGAACAGTGAATATGTATGTCCTCATACCTATGTCCTCAGGAAAAGGCATAGATGTTTCGTACATTCTGTTGTAGTAATAGCAAAAGTTACAGTTTCAGTTTCATTCTTGGTGATGATAGGTTTACTCATTTGTTTGAAGTTTTATCTGCCTGTGTGTCCATTATATTGGTGTCTTTCTCTCTGATTTTTGAGTCATCTGTGGGGTGATACTTGAGGTCATGTGAACAGCCGATTCTCTACTGAGCGATCTCTCACTGGTTTTCGTCCCTTGGCCTTCACCTGCATTAGCTGTCACCAGCAGGATGGTGATTTAAAAATCTGTCATTCCTTCTACATTTGTTAGTAGGTATTCTTTTATGATGAGAAGAGGTTCCCTGTTGCCCTGTCTCCCTTCCGTATATCTCTGTGGTCTTTGGAGGCATTTTTGTTTAGTGTATTACACAGTATCATCGTCATTTTTTTTTTGTATATACTCAAATCATCCCATATATAGCCAGGGGGAAACTTTTCAAAGTTTCCTTTTGAAATTATTTTTTGTGTCTTTTTGATACGTCCCCTTAATGCTTTGAATACTTAATTGCTTTGTAGTACAACTGTACATTATAGCTTTAGGTATTAGCCATTTTTCCAGGGAGTTTTTTTTTCCCTTCTCCTCAGTAGGTGAATAGTATTTTGAATCCAAGAACTAGGTACTGGTGCTTCTAGGGGTTGTATTTTCATTGGATACTTTAAGCCTTTAACTTATATTGATATGTTCAATTCAAATCTAGTACTTTAGGAGTTCTTCCTTACATTTCTCTTTTTCACATTTATATATCTTTTCTACCAGTGTGAGAACCTTTTTTTCCCAAAACATTATGTTTTCTACCCAGCTATACACACTAGTAGTAGATTCAAATTATGTCAATGTCACTTCCAACAATAAGTCTCCTACATAAAATTAAGATCTTTTCCAGCTCTTTTCTTAGAGAGTATTTTACTAAGGATGTATAGGGTGCCCTGTTTAAAAGTTAATTAATTTTTAACATACTTACAAATTTATAATACAGTTCAGTTCATTATTTGTATTTAATTGTAAGATTTGTTTTACAATTCTAACCTTTTGATTTAATTTTTAAATATGTAAAATAGTTGCATCATACAAAACTCAAAGTGATGCAAAAAATTTACTCTCTCAGGCTCTTCCTTAAAAATACCCCTTTTTAATCTATACTCATAGGTAGACATTTTCTTCAGTGTTCAGTTTGTCCTTCTTATGTTTCTTTTTGCAAAAATAACCTTCTGTGCACGTGTGTGTGCATACTCTTTGTGATCCCCTTCTTTCTTAAAAACGGGGTGCCATGCTGTATGTTTTGGGGTTTTTCCTTAAAGGATTAGAAAAGTCATTTATACTAGAGTGTTATTATACACTTTTCCCCCTCCTTTTTTCCCTTTTGATATATGGAAACTTACAGTATTTACATAATTAGATCTAACAATGCTATAACTACAAAGATTTCTCCACCCCAACATTACATAAATAATAATTTACATTACCTTCTAAGGAGCTAACAATTTAAAAACCAAGTGGGTTATACTTTTTCTGAGTTTACGTTATTATTTCTAGTAGAGATGAAAGTAGAAAAGTTGAATAAACTACATTTATTGAGTGTATAATGAGTAGTTAATATTCAAGGAAATAATTTTATGGCAATTTTAACTTTTCAAAGATATTTTTAGTCTCAAGAGGTGCTTAATTATTTTCATTTTCAGTGCCTCATCTTTGCTAATTGCATATCAATATTTTTAAAGCTAAATTTTAAATCTGTATTTTCATAATATGTAATGGTATATTAATATATTGGGGTTTTTTTTAGGTTAGATTGTAAGAAACATCTTTTAAGAAAATTTTTTGAGTTACAAAACCTCTGAGTTAAAAGGTTTTTGAAATTAATTCCAGCTGGAGGGCATCTGGGGCAGGGACTAGAGCTGTCGTTTGTTCAAGTATCAGTTCAGCCAGGCCATTAAAACACTGGGCGTGGCACCTGACTCCCCTGCTAAAGCTTCCTCTTGTGTAAAGTGGCAGTAGTGATACCCAGCGCATAGGATTGCTATGTGGGGACTCTAAAACAAAGTCACCTCTGAAGTTTTTTGAGACTTACATACTTTTAAGTTCTGAGTAGAAAAGTAATAATTAATGTAAAAATTTGGATCTGTTGTAATTGAGTAAAATTGTTTGTTTTTTACTTGAATGTTTGAATTACAAATATATTTATCTGCCTTTCTTCAGGAAGATACATTTATTTTAAAGGAGCAACTCCGTAAAGCAGAGGAGCAGATTCAAGCAACTCGCCAAGAAGTTGTCTTTCTGACTAAAGAACTTAGTGATGCCGTGAATGTGAGGGATAAAACTATGGCAGATCTACATACTGCACGCCTGGAAAATGAGAAAGTCAGAAAGCAGCTGGCTGATGCAGTGGCTGAACTTAAACTAAAGGCTGCCAGAAAAGACCAGGTAAAGAAGGTTCATTTGGAGTTTCCATTTTGATCAGAACTCATTATAGGAATGAGTTATGTTAATCAAGTCAGATTTCTGATGAGAATTTTAAGTTTCCATTCATTTTTTTCAGTTATTGAAAGTTTCTGGGTTGAAAATAATACAAATTTTAATAAAAACTGCTGTAAGCAAATTCCTAATGGTTAGTAAAAGCTGCTCTATTATTGTTAATTAAAATTTCTAATGTCAGGTATATATTACTTTGTTGGAATTTCTTATTAACTAGCTGCATAAAAAGGTATTATGGTTATTTAACAGAGTAATATTTGCTCCTCAGGAGGTGGATTATTCTTCTAGTTTTTTAATGAATCTTAGTCCTAAGAATGTAAAGCTGGATTTATTAGGAGAGCTCACTGGTAAGGCTCTATAGCCAGATTCCAAAACAAATTTAAACAGCCGGAAAGAGGTACATGAAAATGAGATTTTAATTTACTGCTACACTATGATAAAAAATTTTTACCTTCTTCTCAGAGGAAATGTTTGTTTATTTCTCTCCCAGGAAAAAACGGACACACTGGAACATGAACTGAGAAGAGAAGTCGAAGACCTGAAACTCCGTCTTCAGATGGCGGCAGATCATTACAAAGAAAAGTTCAAAGAATGCCAGAGGCTCCAAAAACAAATAAATAAGCTTTCAGAGCAATCAGTGAGTGTAACTGAGTTCATACTTAGTGAAATACTTCTTTTATGTGTATTTTTGTTTGCACATCAAATTTACAATATTCTAAACGTTATCCTTTTTAATATAATTTACCTCTGCTTGATTTCAAGCCATTGGTCTAATAGGGTAGTGGTAGTTTTTTTTTTTTAATATTTTATTTTATTTATTTTTTGAGAGAGGGGAAGGGAAGGAGAAAGAGTGGCAGAGAAATATCAATGTATGGTTGCCTCTTATTTGTCCCCTCTGGGAACTGGCTTGCAACCCCGGCATGTGCCCTGACTGGGAATCGAACAGCGATACTCTGGTTCGCAGGTCTGAGCTCAATCCACTGAGCTACGCCAGGCAGGGCGGTAGTGGTAGTTTTATACGGTAGTGGTAGTTTTTTAAAAATCTGGAATGTCTATTTGTTGGAGAACTAACAAAGGAAATAAGGGCATGGGCAGGGAGAAAAGAGAGCCCTCTTTTCTTCAACATTTTTTTTTAGGTCGATACATGTGTCTTTCACTTCAATGTCAACGCATGTTACTGAGTCGCTGCTTGCGGCAGTGATGCCTGTCCTCAGTGGGACTTGCCATCGATCGGTTGTCGTGGACAAGCTCTTCCTTCCTGTTTTGTATCCACTGGGTTAGGACGAGGGGAAAAGTGTCAGCTAGTTGCTTTGCGTTGTACTTACAGGTGGGGTAGGTAGATTTCATAAGATCAAAAATAATGTTTCTGTCTTGATATCTGTGGGTTTTAATGAGGGTTCCCAAATTGTGCTCAAATACAAGGTTTCTTATGTAATTGAGTCTTGGAAGGGAAGAAACACATTTGAAACCTGAAATTGAAAATGAGACCACAGTTCTCTTTACCAACCAGATTTACTGGAAAGACAGTTTTATTTGTACTGGACCCTATGACACATGATATTTTACCAGTCTTTTGAAACCTGAAAGGAAACCAAACAAGCAAGAAGTACGTGCGATAACGTAGGCAGGGTTTTGTGGGGGAAAAGAAACCATTACACTTTAAGTATGACCCACATGTATATAGATTTTGGTTTCAAGCCTTTAAGTATATTACGACTTTGTAGTAGAAAATGTGTGAGATTTCTGTGAATGGTTTGTTTTGGTGGTGTTTTTGATGTGTTTTTTTGTTTTGTTGTTTTTTGTGGTTTTTTTAAGGTTTTATTTTATTTTTAGAGAGGGGAAGGTGGGGTAGAAAGAGGGAGAGAAACATCAATATTTTGACAAGAAAAAAACAAGCTTTTCCGTTTTGTACTGTGAGTAAAGTGATGTAGCTTTTAGGGCAGTTGGAGCTTTGCAGACTTTCAGGACTTCTTGATAATGGTTATTATTTACATAGTGACTGAAGAGAGAAAATATAATTCATTTAACATCCCTTTATTAACATTTGAATAGGCCAATAGCAATGTCTTTACAAAGAAAATTGGGAGTCAGCAGAAAGTGAACGACGCCTCAGTGAACACAGACCCAGCTGCTGCTGCCTCTCCTGCCGGTGTGCCGCCACTGCCTCCTGCAGGTAAAGAGCTTTCAGGCTCTTTGTGTAGTGTCCTGCCCTGAAAAGTATTTGAACTTCCTTTTACTGCTTTGTTTCAGGAGTAAGAATTTTAGGGAGTTCATAGAAATCAAATCAAATGAGGGAATTGAGGCAAAGGGAAAGTAAGGGTCTAAAAGTAAGATAAAGTCATGCATGTGGTGAGTATGCGAATTATGAGTGTGAACTAGAATATTCACATGTGTTAAATGACCTGGTGTTTGTTGGGCTATAGGACAAGAGCCAAGAACTGAATTTTTAATTAACATTCCACTACAATCTATGGAATTTTCAAACACGTCTGGCCCTTCAATTGTTTAATTCTTTTAGGAGGAATAACTTGTAAATCCCGGTTGGTGTCGTTCATCTCTCTTCAGCCGCTTTGGATCACTGGGGGGCTTTCCTCAGTGTAGTTGTTAGTGGATAAGGTAATTTTTAGTTAACTTATAGAGCAGATCGGAGAGACACAGTGAAAACATGAACAGCATGTAAATTTGAATTAACTCTAGGATTTTACTTGTCCTTTTTTTTTAACCCTATATTAATGATTAAGCAATAATGAAAGTAAGTACTAGAGTATATAAAAGTATATTCCCTTGTGTAATGTTTGGGCAACTGATGTCTTATACTCTTTAAATGTCTTATAAATTTCCTATACTATTAAATTTTTAATTAGGTTCAGCTGCTACAGAACAGGATTCTCTTTTCATTTCTGTACATCCTCTGTAGCACCTGTGTGGTGTTGTACAATATATACTTAACAAAAACCTATTAAATAGTAATGAAGGACTGGAAAAATGATTCAAAATGTTTTCTCAGAGAGTATGGCTTTCCTACTTACCCTGTTTATTCAGTTATATAAATTTCTGTGCCATTTGAGAATTATTTTCAGCTAATTAAAAAAAAAATAACAGTCCTTTCAAACTTGATTCTGGCCAAAGTGACATTTAAGAAATTCTCACTTAGAGTTTATGTTACTGTCCTTTGTTTATTTAGTGAGTGAATGGATATTTTTAAGCATGTTTTTCTCCTTCAGTATCTCATTTACTGTACTTCACGGTATATTGACCTTTAAGTTATTCTAATAAGGAAAATAATAATAAGGGGAAAACTAATTTTTAATAATCTTGTTTGCCTTGTCACAGCAGAGACAGATTTTGACATTGTAACAAAAGGGCAAGTCTGTGAAATGACCAAAGAAATTGCTGATAAAACAGAAAAGTATAATAAATGTAAACAGCTCTTGCAGGTAAGCTAGCAACCTTGTAAGTGAAAGATTTATCAAGTGTAATGGCTTTGTTTACTGTATTGTTTTGATTGGTGAGCGCCCTAGGGTTTCTTTTGCATACACATATACTGATATTTCATTTAATTGTTGAGATGTTGAGAGGTGGTCATTTTGTATACATTTTTATGAAGGCCTTTGTGTAAAATCATGACCTTAAAATTTCTGTTCACCTACTATGCTTCTCTTGATAATAGGCTAGTGATTAATTGAGGTTGAATATTATTGTTTGTCTTATTATAAGGATACATGAAAAATGTTCGAACTTCATAAAAGAGAAGTTCTCCTTTTACCTTTAATAACAGAGATTTCCACCATATCTTAAAGTGACAAGATTTGCAAAGTGGAAAGGGGGAACGTTAATCAAATGAGTTTTTGCCTTCACAGTGTTACTTATTTTGATTATTTTAAACTCTATTCAAATATTTCAGTTTTGCAACTGTCGTGGTAGCATTCGTTTGTAGAGTAATTAAAGGACAAAGGGAAAAGGCTTCTCATTTTTACCTGATTTGAAGAAGGGAGGAAAGGGCATTTTGTGTATATAATTTTTGTTTAAGTAAATACTTTTTTGTGTTCCTCTCTGCATGCGGGGAAAAGAGGGATAATTTTTAGAGCTGGAGACATTCACGTATCAGCTCAGGGTTACTAGAGTAACTTAAAATATTTTGTTACTCCCTTGTAAATAATATTAACGTAATGTAATTTTTTACTCAGACCTCAAACTGAATGTTTATGTTGCTTCAGATGATCTTACTTTCTGTGGAAGTGTTCATTTGACCAGTTTACCTTTCAGTTCAAACCAGTTGTTTATAAGGGACTAAACTGTTTTTCCTTAAATGTAAAACAGTTCTGGGTGAATATTAAAAAATCTCATATAGTATTGAAAGTAGAGAATGTTCCATTGAAACTAAAAACTGCACACATTTAAAGTGCTCAGTTTGATCATTTTTGCCATATATAGTTGTGAAACTTACACTGTCAGGTGTTTTGTACCTGTTTGAAACTCATCCCTCTCTGTCCCCATCCCTGGGGAACTGTTGGCTTGCTTTCTACCATGAGAGATTAGCCTGCCTTTCGTACAGTTCCTATTCATGGAATCTCACGGTCTGTACTCCGTTTCTTGTTGTCTTTCAGCATAATTATTTTGAGACTGAGGTGTGTTGTTGCTTATATTGGTACTTCTTGTTACTGCAAGAGTTCAGATCTTTGCTGTTTCAAAAATTGGGTTGTTTATCTTATTGAATTTAAGTCTTCTTTATTCTGGCTATAAGTACTTTGTCTTATATGTGTGTAGTAAATAATTTCTCCAGTTTTTGCCTTGCCCTTTTATTTCCTTAATGGTATTTTTAGAAAAAGTTTTAATTCTGATGAGGTACAGAGTACCAGTTTATTCTTTTGTTTTGTGCTTTTTATGTTCTAAGAAACATTTATTTAATTGAACTTGCAAAGATTTTCTCCTGCCTTATTTCCTAGAAGTTTCATAGTCTCGGGTTTTACATGCAGATGTCAGCCATTTTCACTTGTCTTTGTGTGTAGTGGGAGATGCGGTATAGTTGGTCTAGCGTTCTTTGATGAAAAGACTGTTTTCTTCATTGACTTGCTCAAAGCATATTTTAAAACTTCCACCTTGAACAAAAACATTCAGATTGAAATTGGCCAATGTGCTTATTTATTGTGTTTGTAACTCCTTTTTAACATTCTGGGTCATAATGTGTAACAAGTTAACCTAGAGATTGTCTTCCCCAGGAAGTCCCAGTGTTTTATTTATCAATGTCTGGAAACAGTGGCATTACACATATAATTTTTAAAAAATATTTTATTTAATTTTTTTTAGAAAGAGAGGAAGGGAAGGAGAAAGAGAGGGAGAGAAACATCAACGTGTGGTCACCTCTCATATGGCCCCTACTGGGGACCTGGCCCACAACCCAGGCATATGCCCTGATTGGGAATCGAACTGCAACCCTTTGGTTCACAGCCACACTCAATCCACTGAGCTACAGCAGCCAGGGCTATAAATATAATTTTTATTACCTCCCTTTGCAAAAGTAGCACATGGCTGTGGCGAAAGCATCAGAGAAGTAGAGATGGTGGAAAGTACCGTCAGGGTCCTGATTCCCAGAGATGAGAGCTGTTAATTAAGTGCTTTATATTTTGTACACAACACCACATAGACATCATATGAAATTGTGTTAAAGCAACTTTTAAAACAAAAATACTATTACTCTCTTCTGTTTTTGCAATTTGCTGTTTTCAGTTAATGTATCTCGACATCTTTCTTTGTTAATTCCATTGTATATAAAAGGATTTATTCAATCTTCCACTGACTTTTGGTTACTTCAGTTTTTATACTGTTGCAGTAGTGTTACAAAAACATTTAGCACATATGTTTGTGTAGATACTGGCTGTATGTGGATTTAAAATCTTTTGTTAATTTACTAATTTTATTTAGGATGAGAAAACAAAGTGCAATAAATATGCCGATGAACTTGCAAAAATGGAGCTGAAATGGAAAGAACAAGTAAAAATTGCTGAAACTGTAAAACTAGAACTAGCCGAAGTAGAGGACAATTACAAAGTAAGTTTAGTATTCGTGTGACTTGAGGCATACATAGTTCTTGGTGCTTTTGAAAATGTGTTACATATAATCTTTATCAACCTAGTGTACGTTTTTAATATGGATAACGATAATATTTTAGTGTATGAATAAAAATGTACTATGAATTTAGTTAATGTTGCATATAGTTCAAGAACTATAAACTGAGAAGATGGAAACCCATATGAATTGCCATTGTGGCTTTAATTCTGTAAATTCAGATGGTTATTAAAATTATTTCTCTTAATTTTGCTTAGTATTTAAAGATTACAAGTGATTATTTTGTAGTCTCTTGTTCACCTAAAAAGAAACGTGTGTGTGTGTGTGTGTGTGTGTGTGAAGTTATTTTAGGACCTTGGCATTCTTGTGGGAGTGTGATGATATGATCAGTGATGTTTGAAAGTTAAGGGTTTTAAAATGATCACCAACGTATGTTTCTTATGATCCTAAGTGAAATACTGCAGAGTACACTTTGGCCAGTGTAACGTAAGCCAATAAACAAGCCTGACCAGTAAATGATATTTTTAAGAATGTTAGAGAAAAACCAGAAGGCTGTCTAGCTAATTAATAAGAATAGTATTTTTCCCTCTAAAGAATAAAGCGTAATCTTACGTATTCTATGATAGATGTGTAATTTGGCGTTTTTGTGTGTGTGAGTGAATAAAGAATAGGAAGTTCTAAATTATTTAACTTTGCTAAGTTAAGTCATCGCTGACTGTACGTGAGTTTTAAATGTAATTCTTAGACACCAAGAATTACTTTAGGCTCCTTCACGGGGCCTGGAGAGGGTGGCACAGCACAGACTAAGGCAACTTGACTGATGGTCCCTTTCATTACCTTCCACTGTCAGAATAATCTTGAAGCTTTTATTTCATATAATTACTGACATCCTTGTGGATATTGTTTTTAATGGCTGGCAACTTATTTATAAAGCTGAATACTGAATTCATACGAAGTTTTATTTTTGAAGATTGATTAAAAATGACTTAGTAAGTACTTATTGGAGCCTATTAAATGAGGTCTGTCCAGTAAGTATCCAGCCACATAATAAGAAAGATAGAGGTGTTTATTGAAGCAGCTACAAGAAACATTGTGCATGTGACAGTGACGCCTCAGTCCCCTTCAAAGTAGTCACCTTGGGACCTGACATAGTTCTCCTAGTCACCATCAGCTGCCCCGTCATATTTTCCTGAATCTCATCAACAGTCTGAGATCTTTAACCTTTCAAAGGTGGTTTTAGTTTTAGAAAAAGTCAGAGTTGCAGGGCACCAAATTGGGACTGTAGGGGGCTGAGTCACTTGCATGATTTGACGTTTCACCAAAAAAGTCTTCAGGAGATGTGATGCATGAGTGGGTGCATTGTGATGAAGCCTCCAGTCACCAGTTGCCCTTAGCTGTGGTCCTGAGTCATCTGAATAGTTTTGGTGGAGGAATGTTCAGGCTTACTGCAAAATCTGATGCAGATTCATTGCTTTGCTTGCTCAGTCATTTTGAGTGCCAGCAACCACATAGGACACATGCTCACCCAAGGGCATCTACTGCCCCCACTGAACAGTGAAGTCATCATTGTTTACACATGCTCAGTCCAGTCCACTCTCCTTGGCTGCCAGGTTACATTGATGTCATGCAGACCGTTCTCATTATGTTACCAATGACTGGACTTTTTCTGGACAGACCTTGTATGTATGTATACACTGGGCTAGCTATTATGTGGGTGATCGCGACTGTAAGTAAGCTGCAATGCTGTGCTTCAGGAGTCCGTGGCCCAGGAGGGAATGTTGAAAGTGTAATGGTGATCTCATGACTCTCTCATAACCTACCTAGGTAATCTGTCATACCCAGTGGGGATCCAAATATTTTTATTTCATTAATGATAAAAATGAGCATCGAGATTAAGCAACATATTTAAGGTTACACAGCTTATAAAGGTGCTTGGCTTTTTGCTTAGTGCTCTTTCCCTTACTTTTTCCTGTTAAGACACAAACCGTCATACCAGGCGAGGCAAACTAAAGTTTTACATGATAAATCCGAAGTACTTTAAGAATGTTTCCAACTGAGTATTTAAGAGTTAGACATTATGGAGAAACTAGACCTCTGAAACACCTAGCTGGAGGGGAGGAGAAGCAGAGCTGAGGAAAGAAAGCAGTAGTGTTCTACGGCAACAGAGAAACATCAGTACGGGTTTGGAGGTCAGGAGTGTGGGGCGCTGTCTGGGAACTGTCTGCAGTCTTGAGTGATAGGACCTTCATGTTCATGGTGGAGAAGACGAGACTTGAAGGACAGGTTGAAGCTGAATTTGCGTGCAGTTTGCTCTTCAGGTTTTTCTAAAAGAAAATGAACCCGACTAGAGTGGGTGTTTTTGAAAATAATTTGGTGTCACACAGAGGATTTGTAGGTGGGAAGCATTTTTGAAGGTAAGAAAATCAGGAAGTAGTTGTCTTAGGATGAATTGACAAGGGTAACCTCCTTGGGTACCTTCCCTGATCATCTACCGTTGAAAAGGATGAATTTATCCAGGAAACCTTTGAAAGCCATTGTTATGGGAAAAACCATTGAAGAGTAGTTTCATTTGTGTCCATAGTGCTGATGCTGTAATAGATGAACAATGGGCAGTTGTTGAATGAATGAGCAAATGACTTAGAGACTGGAAAGTGTTGGGAGGGGAAGAAGGAGAGAAAGGAGGAGTGTTCTTAATTTTCTGGCATCAATTACAGTGGGCTCTGAGATTAATAATATCAATTCACCAAAAAAAAAAAAAGTACATTTTGCCCTTGCAGTGCAGAAAGACAGCCATGAAAACATGGCTAACCATCAATTAAAAAGGCAGATTTGGAACTTAAGAAGGAACAAGTGTGGCACATGAGTTAGTACTTGTGATTTATTCCTATGGGGATGATAGTTGAAAACATAGAAGAAAGGGAGTTTTCAGAGAGAATGTAGAGGAGAGAAGCTGAAGAAAAAGCTTCACAGAATACTCCTATTTGTGATTGTGAAGGTGTGGACACACAGACGGGAGGGCAGCAGTGTGGCTGCAGCTCCGTGTAAACGTGGGGGGGGGTTCCGAGTGGAACTGGGTCGGTGCTGGCAAGTAACTCAGGTGTCAGAGTAGGAACCGAGGAAAACACATGGATGTGGGAATAGCAGTTGTTTTGATAGAATGGTATAAAAGCTGGAAGTGTAAGAGTCAATAATGAAAATGATTAATGACATTTTTTTTTCTAAATTTAGCTTCAATTGGCAGAGAAAGACAAAGAAATAAATGGTCTAACCTCACATTTGGAAAGCCTCTCCCAGGAGCAGGTATTGAGCGGTGCACTTTAAAATATGTTTTATATGACACTGAATGATCATACAGCTTTGTGAAGAGACAGATTTTGCAGTTCATATGAGGGTGGTATTTGAACAAACAGCTAGTTAGTAAAAAAGACCTGTTGAGACTCCTAGATGAAAATATTTTGTGTTGAGTATTTTAAAATACTTTAGGAGAAAATGCTTCAGTGTTGAAACTTAGTTTAGTCTTTGTACATTTTTTAAAATACTTTATTTATTTTCACCTTGGTTGTGCAAGAAGGCACAGTGCTTCCACCTACGCCTCCATCTTGGCGGAAGTCCTCTTATTGATCAAAAATATTTTATTTATTTTCAGAGAGGGGAAGAGAGGGAGAGAAACATCAATGTGTGGTGGCCTTTTGTGAACCCCCTACTGGGGACCTGGCCCACAACCCAGGCATGTGTCCTGACTGGGAGTTGAACTGGTGACCCTTAACTTCACAGACTGGTGCTCAGTCTACTGAGCTGCACTAGCCAGGACTGGTGTATGGCAAGCTTAACATGTGATGTTTTCATCAACTGGAAGTTCCCCTAACCCTGTGTAAGAATTCAGTCTGGAGTCTTGGTGCACAAGTATGATTGATTAAATCATTGGCCAAGTGATTTAACTCGGACTTCCACATCCCTGGAGATGGGGGTGGGGTGAGTGCTAAAATTTCCAGCTCTCTACAGTCATGTGCTGGGTGTTCTGGTGAAATAATCGGAGGGCCCACCAGTTGGCATAATTCAGGATGGTCTCAAGCTTAAAAGGACTTGTCATGAACTGGACACTGCTATGATTCAGTAAATTCCAAGAATTTTAGGACCTGTGTCAGGAATTGGGAACGGAGACTAAATAGGTTTTTATTAATAGCTAAGTTGTAAGAAATTCCATTTTTCCTCAGCTCAGTTAAAAAAAAAAGATGCTTTCTTGGCACTGATAAATTTGAAAGTACATTGGGCTTTATTCCACTTTCTGATTTTGTTGTATGTAGACAGGGCATTGATGAGAAGTTGAGAGCCAGCCTTTCCAAAACTACACTTCAAACATGATAGCAGTCCCCTCACTTAATCCATGGGGGTACATTCCAAGACCCCAGGGGATGCCTGAAACCTTGGGTAACATTAAACCTATTTACATGTACTGGGAGTTTTTTCTTGTACCCACGTTTCTGTGGTAAAGCTTGGGGCATGATTAAGTAAAGTAAGGGTTGCTGGAATACAGGCACCGCAAGACCACGGCAGCCTTGTAACCGGGAGACAGCTACTGAGTGACAAGGGTGCCAGTGGGTGTGCTGGGAAGGGACGGCTCCTGCCCTGGGCGGGGCGGAACAGGGTGCAGTGAGATTTCATCACGTGCAGTTTAAAACTTAAGCATTGTTTATGGAATTTTTCATTTAACTTTTTTTGAACTAGAGTTGACCACGGGTAATTGAAACCACAGAAAGCAAACTGTGGATAAAGGGGAACTACTATAACAGGGAAGTAATTTTACTGTTACATTTTAGCTAAACATTTAATGTTGCCCTTGTTATAAAATACATGGTTGCTTTACTTATTCACGTTTGTTTTTGTTAATTTTAGGAACTTAAAAGGAGTCTAGAAAATCAAGCAGAAGGGAAAACGGAAGGTCAGAATTCCCAGAGTCCCCGTCAGACTTCACAGGGTCTCAACACGTGCTCAGAGCAGAGCGGTCACGTTTCAGCAGTTCCAGACATGCAGCCGGTCCTGCAGTATGGGAATCCTTACGCAACGCAGGAAGCCAGAGGTTATTAAAATATTTCTGGTTTGGGGTTAGCCGAATTGGGAGGTTTTTCTTTTTGTTTGTTTATGTCTTTGTGGGATTAGAGAACCCCTGGTACAGTCAGTGCTAATAGAAACATTATAATGAGCAGTTTTAATGTTTAACACCATCTGGCTTCATCCAGAAGGGATGTACTGTGAATGAGTGGTCTATTTGCTATTATATATAGTTCTTATTTTTAAAAATCACTTGGATTAGAAATAAAGGCATTTTGTTTTTGATGTGCTAAGATGGTTTTTTATATCCTGTTCATCATAGCTTCACACAGAAATTCCGATTTTAGTACCAGGTTTCACCCTTCCCCTGCATAATTTTTTTTTTTTTCAGATGGAGCAGATGGTGCTTTTTACCCAGATGAAATCCAGAGGCCACCTGTGCGAGCAGCCTCCTGGGGACTGGAAGATAATGTCGTCTGCAGCCAGCCTGCTCGGAACCTCAGTCGGCCCGATGGTTTGGAAGACCCCGAGGATAGTAAAGTAAACTGCCTTTCTGTGTTCTGAGCCTGTCCCTTTCATTTTCTCTCCTGCGTAGCAAGTCACATGGTCATGCGTGTTTTGAGAGAGTGTGTGCTTTTGTGTGCACTTGATTACTTGATTTTTCACAAAACCTGTTTGTATTTAAATTTAAGTATGCAGCAAGTTTAATATGCTGCATATTTATTGATACATTAGGATTTTTACTGAATTAAAATATTAAGTTTGGAGAATGACCTCAAAATAGGAACAATTTAATTTTTTAAAAAATTGAGACAGAACTGACATATACCACTATATTAGTTTCAGGTGTACACCTATTTTAGTTTCTTGGTGAGTTGATACTTGTATTTGTGAACTGATCAGTGTAAGTTTACTTAACATCCATTTCGGTTACAAGTTTTCCCACTGTTATTTAAGATCCCATTGTTAAGTAGAAATTAAGATCTACTTTTAGTAACTTTCAAATATACAATACAGTATTATGAACTATAGTCACAGAGAGTTTAATTTTCACTAAGTAATTTGCTGTAGCTGCACTAGGCTGGACAAAGCGAAGTGTGAATGACCATCCCAGGCCACAGTGTGTCTCTTCACTTCAGCAGTTAGTGTCTTCTTTACTTTTGAAGGTGGGCTTCAGGTAGAAAACGAGGGAATTGTGTGTAGCATTCTTTTTCAAAGAAATACTGTTTCACACATTGGTAGTATTTAATCTCTCAGCAACACAGTAGTGATGATAATTGAGTTAGTTTGTGTAGCACATCATTATTACTTTGATTTCATTTAGTAAATAGGTTCTTTTCTACACAGCAGCTCCTGTGGATTTCCCGTGCATTCAGATGAGTTTAAAAGAAATGCTTTATTGTGCTCTTTGCAAGTACAGTGGTATCATGACCTGTTTTCTCATTTAATATAGTTTGCTGCATTTAATTGCTATTAACCTTTGCAGAAACTGATCAGTGTTTAGACAGACGTGAGTTTAGCCCTAGTGCTCAACAGTTATAATGGAGAAAAATGCATTTTTCTCTTCTGCCTTTTGGCCTCCTGTGTCCATTACTGGGGATAATTAGGAAACCTGTCAGGACGTTTGTAGCCTGTTTAAGGTCTAGAGTATCATTTTACTGCTTTTTCATACCTTTACTTCACATTTTGCATATTTAATCTGATCATTCCTAGCACAGATGTTACATGCAACAAGCCCTTCTCTTTCGTAGTCATCTGCTGCAGTTTAATTAGGAGAATGTTCTTTCTGATCTGTGTGCTTTGCCCTTCTGCAAACCCATGAGAAGCAGTGTTAGAGGCTTGTGCTCATTTGCTGACATGCTTAGATTTGGTAATGAGATGGAAGGGCTCTTAACAGGTGCACCTTGGGTAATTGCATTTTTGCAGTCGGATTTTTCACATTAGCAGAAATTTAATGTACCTTCAGACCTTGTTTAAAAAATTTCTTATCATTACAACAACAACAAAAACAATCACTTGCAACTGAAGTATTTTAGTAAGTAATTTTAGTTAGAATATGGAAAGCAAATTTGACGTGACCTGTTCCTTTTCTTTGGTTCTCTGCCTTGGGAGAGATTAACAGCCCCAGGACCCAGCGTCTTTGAGTCAGGCTTAAGACAGCCTACTCTTCCGGCTTGTTCCAGTCACACACCTGCCATAGCTCCTCCTTCTGGACCAGAAACTGGTCAGCCATTAGCTTAAAAACCTTTTATGACTCCCTCTCAACTAATAATTGCACTGGCAATAGCTCTAACATGATTATGATGATGGCGATGGCAACAAATGTTTCTGCACCTGTGTTTACCAGCTACTGCTTAGTCCTTTAAATGTATCATCTCACTGGTTCTTCATAGCAGTCCTTGGGGGTAGGAACGGTTGCCATCTCTATGGCAAGGTGCCGCGAGGCAGCTTAACTGGCTTGTCCCGTATCTCACTGCTGGGAAGAGTGCACCCAGGATTTGAGCCTCATCGCGTTGGCTAGAGAAGCTGTGGTCTCTAACCACCTATCAACCTATCAAATGGGCTGAAAGCAGAGGTTCCTAAACTTAATCTTTTGGCGCCTTTAGCATCACAGTACATTACTTGTAATTGAGTTTATTGGGGTGGCATTGGTTAAGAAAATTATACAGGTTTCAGGTGTACAACTCTAAAACACATCATCTGTGTACTGTATTGTATGTTCACTGCCCCAAGTCCAGTCTTCTTCCATCACCATTTGTCCCCCCTTTGCCCTCTTCTCCCCCCTTTCCTCTGTCTGGGAATCACCATATGTTTGTCTTTGTCTATGAGACTTTTTTTTTTCTTAATTCCTTTTTCACCCGACCCCACCCCCCTCTGACAGCTGTCAGTCTGTTCTCTGAGTCTGTTTCTGTTTGGTTTGTTGGTTTATTTTATTCATTAGATTCCACATACATGTGAGATCATATAGTACTTGTCTTTCTCTGACTGGCTTATTTCACTTAAAATAATGCTCTTCAAGTCCATCTATGTTGTTACAAAAGGTAGTATTTCCTTTTTTACATATGAGCAGTATTCCATTGTGTAAATGTAACAGTTTTTTATCCACTCACCTCCTGATGGGTACTTGGGCTGCTCCCAGTCTTGGCTGTTGTAAATAATGCTGCTGGACTGTAGGGGTGGCGTGTGTCCTTTTAAATGAGGTCTTGGGTTTCTTTGGATGGATTCCCAGAAGTGTTTGAATTTCCAGTAGAGCAGTTTACTGTAGCTTGTTTCATTTGCTTAATGACCAATCTGTCATCAAAATAGTACTGTGCTGATAGGTCTAAAGATAGATGAACAGGGTAAGGTGCTTTAGACTTTTGCAGAGATTAATATGCTGTTGAAAATTACAAAAGATTTAATTATTTGGAACTGTTCAAAGTAGATTTCAGTATGGCATTTCCAATAAAATTTGCTTAGAGGATTATCTTAGCAGTTTAACTAAACTACTAGGCACTGATACTTAAAAACCTGCTATTCAAAATTCTTTTGGGTTGACAGCTTTCAGTTCTAAAACCTAATTTAGTAGTTTTGGGGTGGAAATCTTTCTAACCTAGAATACATGATTCTCTGCCTTCTTAAAGAATATCTAATATAACCTTGATGGCCTAAGTTTATGAATTTAAAAGTCAACATTAAACATGCTATCATGTTCTTTTAAGATGTGAAGCTGTGGGATCCAATGTTGGAATACTATCGACATTTAGAGTTTTGTCTGTTTTTCTTTTTATCGGTAGCTGTTGCCGGCAGTGGGCCTGCCTTACTAGTCTCACTTCCCACCCTAATTGGTTGTGTTTAACCTCATATGGCTTGGAAACTAACTGTCCTTGATGAGTAAAACAGAATGAAGGTAGTATTTGTGAGTGATGTTTGACTGGTCATTTTGCATGTCAATATCATGAGAGACTTTATGGATTGTCTACTCATATAACTTACTACATACTTCTGGATTTGAACGGTTCTCTGAGCAGGTGATAGGATTTCTTATTTCACTGGAATGTGCTTAGTATGTCTCATTATAATATCTGGAGTTCTAGTTGAGTCCCGCTTTTGTTTTGTTAGGTAATAGGTGATAAAAGACACAAAATAATATGGCCATTATTACCAACGTATATGTGACTTAGGACTGCTCAGTATAAACTGCTCTCCTCTCACCTCAGTGTATTACAACAGGGCCGACCTGTCTGGCAGGTGGTCTGAGTCTAGCGTCTTAACTAGCGGTGAACTCCTGCCAGCCGACTGCTTTGTGGAGGCTGTAAATTGGTGTAAGCTCTGTCTGTCATCAAGTATTTTGAATGTCATCAAGTAAAGGTAGAATATCAAGACTTTCCTTTTTATCTTTTCTATTTTCCTAAGTGCCATTTTTTAATTTTTAATATATTTTATTGATTATGATATTATAGTTGCCTCAGTTTTTCCTTCCACATAGCACCCCCATTCCCTCTGTCAGTCCCTCCTTAGTTCATGTCCATGGGTCATGTGCGCAAGTTCTTTGGCTTCTCCATTACCTAGGTGTATAGTTCCTAACATGCCTTTGTCCGCATATACCAGTTTGTAGGTCTTAATCCCTGCACCTTTTCCCTTACTCTTCCCCTTCCCAACTGATAACCCTCCAAATGCTCTCCGTATCTGTGATTCTGTTTCTGTTCTGCTTGTTTGCTTAGTTTGTTTTTAAGATTGAATCGTTGATAGATGTGAATTTATTGCCATTTTAATGTTCACTGTTTTGATCTTTTTTTAAAATGAGTCCCTTTATAAACATTTCATATAATAATGGCTTGGTGATGATGAACTCCTTTAACTTTATCTTGTCTGGGAAGCACTTTATCTGTCCTTCCATCCTAAATGATAGCTTTGCTGGATAGAGCAATCTAGGTTGTAGGTCTTTGCTTCTCATCACTTTGAGTACCTTTTGCCAGTCCCTTTTAGCCTGCAAAGTATCTTCTGAGAAATCAGCTGCCAGTCTTATGGGAACTCCTTTGTAGGTAACTCTCTGCATTCTCTTGCTGGTTTTAAAACTCTTCATCTTTAACTTTGTCATTTTAATTATGATGTGTCTTAGAGTGAACCTCTTTGGGTTCAACTTGTTTGGGACTTTCTCTACTTCCTAAACTTGCATGTCTGTTTCCGTCACCAAATTAGGGAAGTTTTCTTTCATTTCTTTTTTTTTCAAGTAAGTGTTCATTTTTATTTAATTCACTTTCTCTTCTCCTTCTGGCACCCCCATGATTCGAGCGTTGGTCTGTTTGAAGTTGTCCCAGAGGCTCCTTATCTTACCCTCATTTTGGGGATTCTTTTTAATTCTTGTTCTGATTGAATTTTTTTTCTTCCTTATGTTCCAAGTCATTGGTTTGCTCTTGGCTTCATCCCTCCACTGCTGATTCCCTGAAAATTTTTATTTATTTCATTTAGTGTAACCTTCATTTCCTCCTGGTTTTTTTTTTTATGCTGTTGACGTACCCAGTGAGTTCCTTAAGTATTCTTAACCAGTGTTTTGCATTCTGCCTCTGATAAATTGCTTATCTCCATTTTGTTTGGAGTTTTATTTTGTTCTTTCATTTGGGCCATCTTTCCTTGTCTCCTCATTTTGGCAGCCTCTCTCTGTTTGTTTCTGTGTATTAGGTGGAGCTGCTTCAACTCCCTGTCTTAGTAGCATGGCCTGTTGTAGGAAAGTGCACCCATAAGTTGGAGGGGACAGAGCTCTAGGTACTTGCCAGGGCCGGGCAACCCATGTGAGCCAAGTTGATGGAGTCTCAGATACAGTGTCACCTTTCTGTGGCTCTGTGTGGAGGGCTCAGAAATGGGACTGTGGCCCCTGCCTGAGCTCCGAAACTTCGGGAGGAAGCTGTGCCCTGGTGCTCCCCCGGATGCCACACACTTCTATTTCTCCCCGTGTGCCACTGGTGCCCTTCCAGTGCTGCCCTGGTGCTAAAGCCCAGAGGGAGTGAGTCTGTGCGAGTCCTGAGTCTTCTGTGGTCCTTTAAGAAGTGACACCTGAGAATCACAGTTTCTTCCACTGCCCCAACTCCCACTGGTTTTTGCTGCCAGAAGTTGTGGGGATTTGCCTTTCTGGTACCAGAACCCTGGGTTCTGGGATCTCTTGCTCAACAGGTATCCCTCCTGGTGTTTATCCATGTGTGGGTGTGGGGCCGCTCATTCCAGGTCTCCGCCTCTCCTGCCTGTCTGGAGGTGACTTCTTTAACTCCTTGGTGTGGGACTTCATACAGCTCCGCTTTCTGATGATTCTGGGTGATAATTGTAGTTTAGTTGTAATTTTTGCTGTGATTGTACAAAGAGGTGAGCCGTGTTTACCTATGCCTCTATCTTGACCAGAAGTCTATTTCCCTAAATGCCATTTCAAAGATTGTTTTCTTTTTTCAAAGGAAAACGAGAAAACTTTGTTCATTATTATTTGATACGTAGTTGCTGAAGCAGTTTCTGTGTTTCAGTCATCTTAAGTTTAGCAAGTTGAGCCCTGGCTGGTGTAGCTCAGTGGATTGAGCACGGCCTGTGAAGCAAAGGGTCACTGGTTCAGTTCCCAGTTAGAGCACATGCCTGGGTTGCAGGCCAGGTCCCCAGTAGGGGACACATGAGAGGCAACCATACATTGATGTTTTTCTCCCTCTCTTTCTCCTTCCCTTCCCCTCTCTCTAAAAATAAATAAAGTATTTCAAAAAAAAGTTTAGCAGGTTGAATGATCTTCTGCATTATTTTTCCTTTTTGTATCTGTAGATTTAAAAGCTGTCTGGGTTTTAGTTACCTGAAGACTTTTAATATTTGAAATATATAAGTACTTATATTTTCCCCAATCCTTCATTATCTCTCCTGTATTTTTCTTTGGCCCAAGTATATCCTAAGGGAATCATGAATGTAAACAAAAGCATTTTCTCATGTGATGGACAGGAAAGAAAAAGCCTCTCAAGCCCTTTCTCTGAGCATTCAGGAGGGGTCACCATCGGAACAGTAGGCACCCCCTGCCCCCAAAAGGTCACCTCAGTTTGTTCGTTCATGTCGGGTTGCATACCAGACGCTTTTCTGGTACCTTGTCCATGACAGACTCCTCAGCCCACGGGTGGCGGCTCTGGGGCAAGTGTGACTGCCCAGGGGAGGAGGCGGACGGGCACCTGCCATGACGCGGCTGCTCTGGAGCGACGAGAGGGCGTCGGGTGCCGACGGAGCACACACAGGTCTCCAAAGAGTGACCGCAGGGGTCCGGCCTGGAACTTCGAGCCAGTGTTTCTTTTATATCGAAACTCAGATTTACAGGTTTTTAGGGGTCTTCATTGACAATCTGTAATCAAATACTTGATTTTGAGTTTTGTTCCGTCACTCCAGACTTTTGAGACTGGTGGTTTGGTGCTTTGCTTTAACATGGTACTCAGCTGGGCTGGCGTGTGTGTGAGCCCCAGTGCCTGTGCTGCAAACCGACAGGTTTACCTAGTTTGTATTTACTTGCAAATTAAGGTACCAAGCGAGAGTAACAGGAAAAAGAAGGCAGGGTTGAGATTTTCATGGAACAATAAAAAGTCAAAGTTACCTACATGTAGGTTCAAAAAAGCCGGATGATCTCTACCTTGTTCACACACACAGGTGTGGTATACTTTCCATTCCACTGACTTCTGCTCGTTTCAAGACAGTAACACTTAATTCACAGTGAAATATTTGGTAAGAAAACCGACTTTGTGAAAATCGAATCGAATGGTAACAGAAGTAAAGTCTTTGAAAGAGGAATCTTATTTTCTGTGTACTGGGTGTGATTGGATTAAGGACTTAGGTTCAGTCTCAACGTCCTCAAAAGCTGCATGATTATCTTTTGCAGGAGGCCGAGAATGTGCCCCCTGCTCCCGACCGACCCAGTAAACGTCTGCACGGGCACGCAGCAGGCTTCTGCTTTGATTCCAGGTAATTTTTCTTTCTTATGTAGAATATCGATTACATGGAACATGGTTCTCAAAGTTTGGTTCCTGGAAACTTGTTAGAAACGCATGTGATCAGGGACCCACCTCATACCTTCTGAACCTAAGTTTCTCGGGGTGGGGCCCAGGGAAGCGGGGTGCGTATGCCTTCCAGGCACGAAACCCTTTGGGAGCCAGTGCTGCAGGTGCTCCGAGTGGTTAAACCAAGGAGCGCTGTCGGGAAGTAAGTCGCATTACTTCTGCAGGCTTACGTGAGGCCCCTTCTGTTAGTTACAAATTGAAGAATTCTTGTCACTAAGCCTCATTTTACATAGTGTGATTGCATTTTAGAGATTTTAATGGAAAGGTTTTTCTTTGTCCATCCACTTGTGAAACAATTTAGAGGCTTTGTGAATGGTTCACACAGCTGTCAGTAGCCAGCATTTAGGAGGAAGAAAAGGTTTCTGGAATAAATGGACTTTCAAGATAAATTGTTTACAATGAATATCAGCTTAACTAGATAAATGTAGGCTTGTTATTTACTGAAAGATACCATACTGCTAGAAATTTACTAGAAATACGTAATTCTTTCATTTCTTTATTTCTTCAAGCTTCGATGTCCACAAGAAGTGTCCCCTCTGTGAGTTGATGTTCCCTCCCAACTACGACCAGAGCAAGTTCGAGGAGCACGTGGAGAGCCACTGGAAGGTGTGCCCCATGTGCAGCGAGCAGTTCCCGCCCGACTACGACCAGCAGGGCTTCGAGCGGCACGTGCAGACCCACTTTGATCAGAATGTTTTAAATTTTGACTAGTTGCTTTTTATTACTAGTTAATCATACAGCTTAGCAGTTTTAAAAGATGATCTCCAGTAGACCACTAGGGAGAACACAGGTGATCGCTTCCCTGCACCCTCTACGGTGCTTTTCTGACCAAGGTCCCCTTGGAGTTGGGTGTTACTAGGGTAGGGCCAGCCTTTGGCTTATCAATAAATAGAATTCTAACCTCTTTTTCTTACCTGCTTAAGAAAAGGCGTTCTTGGGTGTTTATATTTTTATTTATTCCCCAGTTTGCAAAATATATGACTAAAGGAAACAAGGATTATTTTAATGTTGCTGCTCTGAAAAGATATGTACTTATAGTGTGTTATTTAGCAGAATATTTACAAGGTTCTGTTGAGCTTGGTGATTGAGCATGACTACTAATATTATGTAATAAAAAGCATTTATCATGAATCTTGCAAAGTAATTCGTTGAATACAGAAAATTCCATAATTTGGCCCATGAAATGGGGTTTCTTCTTTAACTTGCTTTAGAAATGGAACCGTATATAGAATGAGAGCATATGCTTATAATACAGCAGATATTTTTTACATTAGAAATGTTTGCTTTAGGAGTGGGAAGCACACGTTGCTAATTGGTTCTGCTTCTGCCCCGTGGGGAAGTGGACCCAGGGGGGCCAGCACAGTGGCTTCACGTCACGTGATCTGCGCAGTGGCATGAAGGCACAGAGTGTGTCCTTTTTCACCTTTTCCTAATGAGAGTATAACTTTGAAATATTCTCAGTAATTAAAAATGTAACACAGAAACTCAGATGAAAACAGCATATTTGTTATGTCTCTGCTGTGTATAGTATTCTCATTAACATTAAAGAGGACACATTTTTGGAGGTAATTGTCAAATTTATTTGTGATAGTTTTTCATTAAATCTAGTGTCTTGGACATCTTTTTTTTTTAGTCTGGATTTTAAAAAGGGTTTTTGAACTGTATTTCTTTCTCTTAGACTATGAATGTTAACAATATTAAGTACTGGCATTTTTATCCTGAAAATATTCAAGCTTGTCAAAAGCAGACTAGCTATTTAAGATGTTATGCTCGTATTCACTGTGGTGGCCTTGGGGGCGCTGCATATGAGCTGCGTCGCACAGCATGTTGCTTGTATGTGTTTCTGGGAGAGAATGTGCCTACTGCTGGAACCCTCTATAAAGGTCTTCGAGTTTAAGGGGAAAACAGCATCAGGCAGCCAGAGGCCAGATGTTTAGGACAGAGCAGACCTGGGGCCACAGTACAAGTCGGCTGTTTCAGAGAGAATGTTTGGTGATGGGAGTGATTTTGTTGCATCAGTACTACTACCAGTAAAATGGGATTGTTTATCTTAACTAGTCTAGAACTTGAGTAGCTTTTTGCCTCCAGCTGGAAAACATCAAAATAGGCCCAATTCCATTGTGGTCTGAGAGCATGCTTTGTATATGATTTATATTCTTAGGAGTTAAAGTGTGTCTTGTGGCTTACAGTAGTAGTCTTCCTCCGCGAGCGGTCTGAGTGGGCTTGGGCATCGTGTATTGTGTTGCTCGGTGAGGGCTGGTTACAGTTCGTTGACACTGTTGGGTTCGGCTGGGTCTTGCGTTGCTGATAGAGGGATGTTGACGTCCCCAAGTTAAATAAATAGTGGATTTATTTCTCCTAAACAGTTCTATCATTTTTTTTGCCTCCCATGTTTTGATGTTCTGTTGTCAGGCAAAAACCGAAAATACAATCTGCATGCATCCCCTGCACTCGGGGCGGGGCAGCGGTGGAGGGAGGCGGCCTAAGGAAGAGTAAGGGGCTGAGCGGGAAGGTGATTTGTGTTAGCAGACGTGATGATGAGTGTGCCGTGGAAACTGAAGAGCCACGTTTATTTTGGGTCAGAGACGGTTTATTTTAAATGTGATTTCATTTACATTTATAAGCAGCTTTTCTTGACAGGATTTCGAGAAAGTTGCCTTCAGTTCTAAAACCTCTGTCACTTTCAAACTTAATGTGCTCTGTCCCCAACAAAACATATGAAAATATAATTTAAAGCACAGTTTTCACAGACACAGTACAATACATTCACTATACACGGTATAACAAAATATTCCCATCCTTGCCTGCTTAGTAATACTGTCACAATGAAGAAGCAAGTAGAAACTGGAATTTGTTTTACAGTTGAAAGAAATGTTAACATGCACGATGACTATTTTATGACTGCTTAGCTGTTGAACTACTTATCCAGCCTGCGGTTTCTTGCACTAGAAGGAGCGAAGCTAATTGCTAGCCTACAGAAAATTTTGGTCAATTATAGGTAGAGAGGAAATAGCCAAGTAAGACCTTCTTATGCACCAAGTAGTGGCTTTTCCTGTCTGGATCACCCTTTTTTAAACATCCAGGATAGCACTGTGTGTTCAGGACCAAGACCACTCTGCGGAGAGCTGAGGGAATTCTTAGAGGGCAGTGTCTTTGCAAAAACTTAAAAATTTCTCATTTGAGTGAGTTCCAACTTAAGCACATAGAAGCTTACTCATCTGGCTAACAGAATTGTCTCGTCTTTTCAAAATGTCTGAAAAATTGAGGAGGGACACCTGCTTCCCAGCAGTAAAACTTGAATCAAATGAGAATAGGAAGAAAGTTGTAAGCAATGCAACTCTGCTTTTCACCAGTTTTGTGAGCAGTTGGCTATCTCAGCAACTTTTATTGCATATGAGGCAATTGGTAAACTCATGTTTAAGGAATAGCACTTGGGAGAAAAGAACATGCAAGGCATGATGGTACTGTTGGTGAGAAAAACCTCAGGGATGGTCCAGACGTAGGTTACTCTGACAGGTCACAGATTAGTCACCCTGACCACCTGCTGCAAGAAAGCACTTAATTGTCAATAAGGCTCAATTTCTTTTCGGCAAATTGTTCCATAAAGCTAAACAGACATTTCCCATGGAATACAGACATCTCCAATGTGATAGGAAAGTGCCTTTAAAAAGTCTAAAAACACAACATGAAGGAGCGATAGGGTCCTTAACAAAAAATGTTCCTTTGAACCGTGCTTAGAATTTTAATTCTTGTTTGCGACCCACAGGTTTATTAGGGCAGTGGTTGTAAGAATTGGCAACACATAAAACATTAACTCTGTTGGCAATAGAGAACTACAAAGTGCTTTAAAACTTCACCTAAAGATGAAGATAGAACTAATGTACACACACAATTTGCACGTAAGTATTTAAAAGTGTTTCCTAACAGATCTCAGGGAAAAGTTCTTCGTTAAATGGGTATCTTGGTCTGCAGATAACAGTCTGCACAAATCGAACCCCTTGCACCCAGCCAGGCACTCAATGAATGTGCTTGGTCGATGAGAACTGAACAGACTGTTGCACAAAGATGCTATTTATAACACTAAGGTAATTGGTAAGTCAGATGGCAAGATTTTCAGCTTTTCAAAGGGCAAAAGGACTTGCAAGATAAGACACAGAAAGCACACCTTTATGTATGTTATTTAAATATGAAAATACTTTTAGCATATTATGTTAAACATTCTTTCTTAATTTACATTTCCATTACCTAAACTCTTTCTAATCACAAATTCTAACTCCGTTATGTAAGGCATGGTAACCAGTTTGATGATGATTTTGGTTTGAACATAGTTGATGTGTTGAAAAACCTCAATCACGTTACAATCTTGGGGAAAAAAACAAACCTCAGTGCAGCCCCTCCTCCCCCCAACAGCGATCACTGCAAGACACCAGAACAGTATGCAACATGCCCTCCACCGTAGTTTGTTTTGGGGTAAATGTGCTGAGAACCTAGAGCTTTTTTTAGCACCTTATATCAAAGTAATGAAAATGGTATGATGATTACATGTGCAAATGTACAAAATCATTGACTCTACAAAGATACATCATTCCAAAATTACAGAAAAAAGTTTAAAGCATGCATTTAATTCTTTAAAGGGTTGCTGAATGCTCCCCCTGAAAAAAGGTGGCTGTTTTCAAAATCAGCAACTGCTGGTGAGGATTTCTTGGCACAGTTACGACCAGCATGTTATTGCTGCATCTTCCTGATGATCTCGGCCGACACTGGGGGGTGGAAATTGATTGTGTGGTGCCGCAGGCCCTGAGCTGTCTTGTAACTCTTACCGCAACGACATTTGAATGGTTTGCGGACACGAATCTGTGTTCTGTGACCATTCTTGGCATGGTACTTTATGCCATTCACATTCTGTGGAGGAGATAAAAATACCACCTATTAGACGGTGTCATACAGTGTCTCGGAGCGGGGAAAACCATAGTGTGCTTCCGGGTGGCAGCTGTTCACACAGCCAACTCGGGTCATTCCAAACTGCCTCCGCCTGAAACGGAAAGCCCCGAGTTCACGTTCTACATAAAATACGGACGTGAGCCCCACAGACTGTACAGAAACACAGTCCCCTCTGCCTGCAACTTAGCTTCCCTCCAAATCTTTTCCACTGTGAAGAAAGGGCAGTTATATAAAACTGTCCTCGGGATGGCTGGGGACAAAGCCTAAAGAAAGCAGGCGGATCAGGGCAGGAGAGTCGAGTACAAACTTACAGCTGACACTCTCCCCCTATCAGAGTTTGTCCGTGTTCAGGTCTGTGTGAAGTCGGCGTCTCCGCCGTGGCGGGAGCTCCCTGCCACGCGTAAGTACCACCGAGCGGACCAGGCCTGTAGTGGACTTGAATGATCTTGAGATTAATGGAAGTCTCAGCAACAGGAGAGTTCCAGACCTCAAACTGCCCCACAAATCTCACATGGTACATAAAAAGCCTTTCTGGGCTTCTGTTCATTGATTTTGCTAGCTTATTAGCATATTCTGTGTAAAACTTGCTGCCTAGACTTACTCTGTAACAGGTTAAACAAGTTACTGGTGCTCATTCCGTTAGATTGGCTGAGGGACCTGAGTAACTGGTAGAAGATTTAAGAAAGAATAAATGGCAGAGGCGATAATAGAGCACAGGTCTTGGGAAGTTTCCGAGTCAGCTGTTGCCAGATTGGGGTGAAGGGAAGAGAGGGCTTGACACGTGAAGTTACTGTGCACAGACCCCCAGAGGCGGCGGCTGTCTCCAAAAGCATGGCCTCGATGCCGTCCCCGCTTCTGAGTCCAGTCCCGTGACCGACTCAAGCATTCTGGTATGTTCTCTCTTTCTTCACATGCAGCCCTTCGTGAGCTCTCAGAGAACAGGGACCGGCTGATGCTGTTTCATGAGCACCGAGCACGGTCTCTGGCATTGGAGTTAGTGAATTTATTGGAACATGCATCACCATTGTTAGAGCAGTTGAGTCATTGAACAAGTTGAGCAGTTGAACAAAATGTGTTCAGTGCTTATTACCATTTACATTTCCTTCTTGGAGATTCACATCAACACCTTCCAGAAGTCCTATGGAAGAGAATCCTTGCCTTCGCCGGGCCGAGGTGTGCCAGATAGCGACCAGGTGGCTGTGCTCCCAGTCTGAGCTTGTCCAGTGAGTCAAATCACAAGGGCCCTCTGCCCTGCACACCTACCTGCTCTTGGCCTTCTGCACCTGCAGCCCCCGTCCCTCCTGCCTGCAGGGTGCAGGAGCCCCTCATTAATCTAGAGGGAGTAAGAGCTTGCTGCAGCGGGTTCCAGAGGGCAGTGACAGCCGCAGAATGGTCGATGGGTACATGGGCCCTGCCAGCCTCCCCACTGTCCCAGCCACCCCACCAGAAGCCCAGGCCTGAAAGGAAGCCGACTCGTGTTTCGAGCCCCCCCCCGGCATCTTGCTGCAGCCAAGACAGACTCAGGCGAGAACTACCTAGCTGGAGCCAGGCAACCACAGAACCTTGAAAATGATGGTTTTAAGCTACTGGAAAGACAGTTGACAGTTTTATGGCCATCAGAGAAAGACTTCACTTTCCAAGAAATAGTAAAAATATGTGAGTCTCCTGGCTCACAAATGACAGAAGTGTGCATCTACCTGCTTCGTATCCCATTTATTAGGTTGAGAAGTTCATGGAGCACCCAGTAGGATCCCTTTCTGTAGAAGAAGAGTTACTGAAACATTCATGTTCTCGTTCTCACAGAGAACTTGTTGCAAGACGGACCATTGAAACTCCAACTACCTCTGTGCCCTAGTACCACTCACACTTCGTCAGAAAACAGGAAATCAAAAATAAACATTTGACCAACAGGCTAAAAGGCACAGCAACCCCAACAGGATCAGAGCTTCACGCTCTCCATCCAGGCCTGAGATTTCACAAATAATTAGGTGAGGGCAGTTTTGAAACTGGAAACGATGAAAGCCGCAGGGAGTGGGTCGCACCCAGTCTGGACCCAGAGCCTGCTGGGCGCAGCACGAGCCCAGGCTCCAGTGGGTCGGTTCTGTCTCCTCCCAGGCTGGAACACGGACGTGACGTGTGTCCGGCTGTGAGGAAAACGGGCAGTTCCGCACACCAGCCTTAATCTGGAGAAGTTAGGAAACAGTCACGCTTCTGGAAACACGTGGCACTTCCAGGGCTGGCGGAGAAACAGCCTGCCTCACCTCTCTCTGTGGCTGTGGTGGGACGTGTTCGCCGGTGCCAAAGCCTACCCTGATCACTAGCGTTAGCACAGGCTCCACCCAGACTCAGGATTTCCCCCCTGTTCCTTATACACAGCAATGGGAACGCCCACTTTCTAAGACTTTAGGAGCTTAAAAAGACGTTTCCAATTGCAGACATCTTAAAATGAGTTTGGTCTTGAAAAACTACCAAATGGTGGCAGGCAAGTTGATAGTGGCAGGCTTACATCCTCTGACCTCTGAAGAGGGAAAAGGGACTTCAACTTCAGTGGGGCATGGAAGGTAACTGATATCAGACTCCTTGTGCTGAGGGCTGGCTGCCTGCGGTCTCAGAATCGGTTCTCACATTTCAGACTGACACCGGGGGACAGTGAGTTGCCAGAATCACAAGCTGCGCTGGGAGCCCGGGGGTGCAGGGTGCCAGAGCCCGCATCTCCTGCCACAGTGCCACCCACACGCCTCCGTGGGGTGCTGGCTGCTCGTTCCTCAGCTCCACCAGTTGGCGGTCTTTGAAACATCTTAGGTGTTGGGAAGGACTGGGACCCCTGCTGTGCAGAGGGCTGCTGCCTGTGGCGTGCAGTGAGTGGTCTGACGTGGGGCTGGCGCGAGGGGAGGGGCGGGGTGAGGTGCAGCCAGGACGGGGTGGTGGGCGGAGCAAAGGCCTCCACTTCCACACTGGGAGGGGCTGCCCTGATGAAGGACCAGCGCTGGACGACCACACAGGGAATCTTCTCAAGATCGCACACCAATGGCACCATGAAACCTAAAGTCTGGACACCCGGCGTGGCTATTGTGTCCTTGACTGTGTGATCTCTGCTGTCGGTGCTCCGGCCTGAATGACCGCAGCAGGTACCGCATGCCCTCCACAGAGAGACTGTGACTCTCAATTTCCTGTGGGCCTTGGTGTTCTTTCTACATCAAGGAGAGGATGAAGTTGCTCGGAGTTTTGATGAGGAAGAAAAGTGGAAAAACCAGCTGAGGGCCGGGGTGGTGGTATTATTAGACTTAAAGTAAGGCCACCCCGCCAGCCTGGAAGGTGCAAGTCTGGCAGAATCTGGTTTCCCCAGAGGCCACGGGCCCTGGGGCAGCCCGGGCGGCACACCTGCTGGCCTGTGTGTCTGGGCGGCAGGGGCTGCCTGCCGTCAGGGGCCGGCTCAGCCCGTGTTCTCCCTGTGGCCAGCGCTCAGATTTCAGGGAAACTTTGCAGTCGGGGCGGGGGGGGGGGGGGGGGATTGGTCTGTTTTCTGTTTCTCAAAAGTGCTACTTTTGCTAAACGCTATTAATCTTAACCACTAACATAAAAATCACCAAAGTAAAAAACCTCAAAGCACTCCATCCCGCCCTTTAAACTCACACCCCTGTAGACAAGGGTGGGGAGCCGTCTCCACTGCCGGGAGTCGGGGGGAAGGAGGTGCGGCAGCAGGGCAGATAAGAACCGCGGCTCCCGGCCCGAATGTGGCGGCGGGTCCCCAACAATGAAGGCATGCTGCCTGCTTGGGGTTCCAGCGGTCAGCGGGGGGGCCCCTTCCCCTGCATTCTCCGTCCCTTTATCCTCAGCGCATGCACTGTGCCCAAGACCTGTGCTGGGCGCTGAGGAGGAGCCTGTGAGTCGTGGGACCCGCAGACGAAGCACGTGGGGAGGTCCGAGGGCGTGGTGGTCTGAGCGGGGAGTCGGCCTGGGCACTGGCGAGGACGTCTCAGCAGAGGTGGCACCTGTGTGGTGCCCTGAGAAATGCGCACAGCCGGTGTCCTGCGCCAGTTCCCCGCCCCCGCCCTGGGGCCCCATCAGCACTAAGTCGGGGAAGTTGGAGATCACAACATCTCTCGATCCTGCCCATGCCCACGACACCGGGAGAAGATGCCCCGGCACCATGCTGTCCCACTTGGCCCAGAGAAGCAGTGCCACCACCGTGCATCCCCCCAGCCCAGGAAAACAAAGCCCCTCCCCTCCTGGGAGTCAGGCCTGCCGCCTGCCGCCACCCTGCCATCTGTCAGTGATGCAGGATCGAACCACTTCTCTGTTTCCTCTGGGCCGTCGATGGAGACTTGACAGAAGCCCCAGCGATCGGGATGCAAGACAACTACTGGAGGAAACTGCTAGACACCCAAGAAAAAAGCAAAAGAATAATGAGAAGATAGAAACGACTGGGGAGAGGATGTAAGAAAAGGATCGAAGCTGGAGGTGGAAGGAGAGAGCACCTCGTACTCAGTCGAGGGCACAGCGTCTGTTTTCAGTCTGCCTCAGTCTGGGCCATTGCCAGGCGCCCGGTCCTTTCATGGGGGGTGGGGTGGGGGTGCAGGGAGCCCTGACACACAGTCCCTGCACTGGGCAGGAGACAGCCAGGCGGCAAAGCCCCAGGGACCTGCATCTAGAAAGCAGAGAGAAGCAGGCCCTGGGCAAGCAGGCCCCACACAACAACAGTGTTCCCTGTCAAACTTCCTCTGCATGCAAATAAAAGACCAAACCAAAAAAAAATCCTCTTTCTGCAATGCTGAGCTGCCCTCTGGAACCGGGAGCATGTCTAACAGGCCAGGCCCCAGCGCCCAGTCGTCCCGCAACCCACCTCCTGAGCCTGGTTCAGGCCCTACCGGGGGCTCATCAGGATGTGCAGTTGAGACTCCCTCCACCCCTGGGGGGGGGTCCCTTTTCATTTTAGTTTCAACTAAGTCACCCAATGCTGGTTTTAACAGTTTCAGAGTAGATGCAATGTGGGCCACTCCCTTGCGTTTCGTGCTTTTGTACCGACGACCGATATAAAAAGTACTGAAACAGATTATTTTCAGTGCTCAGACACATACTTAAGGAAGAGCACTGGGAGAGGCACTTGGGCTGCCGGCTGAGCCGGGGGAGTCGGTGCGGTGCTGGGGGCCCAGGTATGCAGAGTCTGGTGCTCTGTCCTGGTTGGACACGGGGAGCTTACATTTTTAACAAAGCGCCCACCGTGCACACAGCTGACGGGGGTGGGTGCTCCTCGGGGCTTTGTCCCACTGAGTTTGTTAGTGAACAGTGCGGTGCCCCTCAGAGGGGACGCTGAAGCTGCTGGTGTGAGGAGAATAGTATCAAAGCCCCTTTTCTCCTCATCTCCTTTCCTGCTCACGGGGAGAAGAAGCAAGAACTTTCTCCACTGGAAGCCCGATACCCGACAAGGTTTCCCAGAAGGGCTCAAAGCCAAGCCCTGAACACTTGGAAATGGCCTCCTGTGAGCCACCCGGGCAGCCAGCCCCTGCACTGGGGAAGGTCTGGCAAACAAACAGGTGACATTTTGTGACCTGACTGATACGACACAAATTGGAAGACCATCAGAGGTCCGATCCTCCCACCAAAACATCTTGACTTACGGCCCCCACAGGTCAGCGGAGGGGAAACCCACCGGCACAGCGGAGGGCCGTGTCTCTGGACCGCCCCTCTCTCCAGAGGAAGGAGGGGCTGCCGCTGCCCGATGGGGCCTTGCCTCTCCCACGAGGGTCATGCCGCATGGAGTGGTGTTTTTTTTTTTGTTTTTTACCTTGTATCTCTTTTTACATCCAGGAACTGGGCAGGCAAAAGGCTTCTCTTCCCCGCCGTTCATGCACATGGAGCTGAGGATGGCTTCGGAGCTGATGGCGCTCTCCGTGGTCCAGGACTCGTCACTGTCCGACTCCTCGTAGTCCACCTCCTCCTCGTCGTACTCGCTGCCTGTGGGGTCACAGAACAGCAGGAGCGTCAGGAGCAGTCACCTGCCTGCAGGCAACTGGAGGGGCCGAGGACAGGACCGGGGACGGGGTGGGCAGCTCCTGCTGCCCCAGGAGAGGGCATTACCGGCACAAAGAGCAGCAGGCCTATGGAGACCCCAGGCCAGTGCTGGTGGGACGACACCGGCAGTCACGCCTTCAAGGCCGGGAGTGGGCTGAGCAAGAGCTGGAACGCGGGTCTGGGGCAGGTGGGTCTACGACCGCAAAGGAGCCAGGGAGCCTCTGAGGCCACAACCAGAAACAATCCTTAAGGACGACACCTCCCACCCCAACGCACACACACACACGCACACAATGACACCTGACATTTGGTCGGACAGTACTCGGCTCCTTAGTTTCATGCTTTGTTGGCCGAGCCATTGCAAGAATCTGGGATGGGGTTACAATGTACACCTAGTAGGTATTTATACTTTAGTAGAGATGGATTCGAGATCTTTTCCTTTATAGGTTGAGCTGGGAAGACCATGAGGACATTTGTAAAGGGGGTCACCACAAGCTCGGGAATAGGGGGACAGAAATGCCCAGAGCTCCAAGGGCAAATTGTCAGGGTCAGAATGCAGGTCCAGATCACGGAAGACCAAACAACTGCCCACCACGCCTGTCCCCAGGGAACTGCCCGACACTGTCTGCGAGGCTGGGAGGGCCGACCCACCCTGCCAGACAGCGAGGACGGGGCGGGGGGCTCCTCGGTGTGGCTGAGGTCAGGGTCTACTTCACTGGCTTCTGTTCCTGAGGGCTGGGTGGGAAACTACTTCAACCAGCAACCCCTTTTGCTGTTTTTAAATGAGGCCCAAAGCCATTTATTTTGAGCTTCTGCATAATACGACCCTGAAGGACATAATTCCACAGATCATAAACAGTGTAAAATAATATGTTGACAAGTCCTAATGCATTTACGAGCCCGGTGGAATAAACAGCATCACAGCACAGCATTAATAAGACTGAGACGGCAGCAATCACAGTTGTGAAACCCACCCCCAGGTGTGAGGCTGCGCTGCACCAGGGGCGGCCTGGGTGCTCCGTGGGCTCCCTCCGCCACATCAATTATTTCACCACCGAAACCTGGCACTTTTATTGGGTTTCATTTTAATAGGCATTAATAAGACTGTTTGAAGAGCCAGTTGAGCCTGGAACAAGGACGCCAGCATCTGAGGCTAAACACTTAAAAGGATGCAGGAAGGAAGGAAGGGGCCTCAAGTTGTCGGAGTGCATCTCGGGTTTCAGGCACCTTAGACGCGTCGAATCACCCCTTTAATCCTCCAGTGACCCTGTGGGGTGGCCCTGGCTGTCACTGTCACACACATGAGGAAACTGAGCCCCGTGAGGCTCAAGAGCTTAGGCACCCTCAATCAGCCGTTCAGGGAGGTCCCTGTCTCCCATGCTGCTCCCGGACCCAACACCAGCAGCTGAGGGGTCTCTCAGCCTCCTTGAGTTGTGGGCTCAGACGACAGAATACAAATCCTCTGTTCTGAAACTCTTGGGTGGGACAGAAAAAGCAACTTGGTGAAAGCGAGGCTTTGGCATTAAATGTGGGTTTTGGTAAGCCCTGTGGGTGCTTGGCTGTGGCCCCCGGGAGTGAGATCACTTGGGACACACGCATGGGAAATGAGGAGGGGGTCTCCGCCACAACTCTGAGTCTGTGCAAATCAGAGCCTGCTTGTCCTAGGGCACCGGTTAGGGTGCTGCACCGTTACACCAATGTGCACGCTGGCGCCCTTTAAAGTGCGTGTCCGGAAACGGTGAGTGCGTTTCACAAAGCTCCCCGGCAGGAGAAAGGTCTGAATGACTAATTTATCCATCTCGTGGGCCTAATTTGTTACCCTGAACACCAAGAGCCACACAACACTGTTTACCACGTGGAGTGGGGGGGTGGGGCTCAGATGGAGGGAGGGCTGAAGGAAGCCCAGCAGAAAAGAAAACTTCAGAACTCCATGGGACCAAAGGGGCCGGACCCTGAGGGGTAGATGCTGTGGGTTCAGTTGCCTGGAAAGCACATGGCATCCACCCCCAAGGGGGGCAGGCAGGGCACCCACACAATTTACTGTCCAAGCCACGGCTGGGACAACAGGCTTGACCTGGCCCTGTCCCTCATTACGTGGGCCACCTGTGAAACTGTCTCCCTTGGATGGGGCACAAGAAGGACCTGTTTATACTGAATTGTGTCCTAGAACAAAGAAGAGAAGTAAGTGCACAGACCTGGGTCCATGCCGTGGCTCTCATTAGCTGAGTGACAGCCTTGGCCTCTACCTTCTCTTCTGTGCAATGGGTGCAAATCTCTTCCTTACATTTAAGAATTAGAATTAATGTCTATCAGACATCTGGCGTGGGGGGCCTGCTGCATGAAGTAAGGTTGTTTTGTATATTACATGTACATATGGTATATAAAATAATATTTTTAGAAAGGCCTATTATGATATCAAACAAAAAAGATAATTCTGAAAGGTTTGGGAATCTCTAGTAGAAAAAATTCAAGAGGGGTATCATATCAAGACAGGTGCCATGTTGGGTTTGAACTTCACGGTGCCAGCAGATTGAGGCGCGGTGAGGCCGTGGGGGCCAGCCGGGGGCCCAGCCATCATCACTGGTGAGGTGGCATCACCTCTCTGAGCTTTAGACTCCTCACCTGTAAAACAGGCTCACAACACCACCACCTTGTAAGGTTTGTGACGAGTAACTGAGTTTCTGTTTTTTAAAGTACTTGGAACACAGCCCTGGCCGGGTGGTTCAGTTAGTTGGAGGGTCATCCCGTGCACCACAAGACTGCAGGTTCACTTCCCAGTCAGGGCACATGCCTAGGTTGTAGGTTTGATTCCCAGTGGGGGTGCATACAGGAAGCAACCAATCAATGTTTCCCTCTCTCTCTCAAATCAAATAAATATATCCTCAGGTAAGGATTTAAAAAATGGAAGCACTTAGAACGCCTGGTATCTGGTAAATAAATAAGCAAAATGTCATGTGAGCAGATTATTTCATCCACTCTTCCCTTGAGGATACTTTTTGTTTTTTTTAAAACAAACAAGTGTATGGGGCACCCGCGGTTCCTTGTGTGGCTGGGCCCCAGGGCCCCCCTGTCATCAAACAGAGCTGCCAGTGGTTTGGGTGGGTCCCGTCTCTCTGCCGCAGGTGTGCCCCGGGCGGCCCTCCTGGCGGGCTCTGTTGGGGAACACGGGCGTAGAGCCGGAATGGGCCCCAGAGCCCGCACTCACTTCAGCGTCTCAGAAGTCAGATGGCCCACAGTCACGGTGGGCAGTCCGGGGGCTCCCGTCGTTCAGGCCGCTTGGCGCAAGGTTCTCAGGAGGAAGCGGTTCTGCTCTGGCACATTCCCATCCGTCCTCGTCAGCCCGTTCTCATGTCCACCTCCACCCCCTCTCTGCAGGTCCCCCCTGAACCCTGCCTGGCACGTGCCAACTGCACGGGGTGGGGTGTTCGCACAGAACACAGAAAACCCTGCTCTGCACCGACACCCTGCCCCGCTCTCTAATATCTGAAGGGTCCAGGGAAAGCCTTCCCCCAACAGAAGAGAAAACCCACAGACCTGAATGAAGGAAAACAGACACAAAGTCTATGGAAATGGGCTCCTGAGAGCACGGTGGCTGTGCTAGCGGCTTCTTGAAGTGCCACCCGGGAAGCTGACAGAACAGGGAAGCAGATGAAGTGAAGACATCCCTGTTTTAAAACAAAGGCTGATGGACGCAATTGGATTTTTCATTCTGCTGAACCCACTATTGGCTTCTAGTGGGTAGAGGCCAGGGGTGCTGCTAAACACCTCCCCATGCATAAGACAGCCCCACGGCAGAGTGGGCCAAAAATGTCAATAGAACCAAAGGAACTTTGCAAACCACTTTTCACATGTTTGATCACTCACAGCTCCTTCTCCATACACTGTACACATCTCTTTTATGTTTCAGTTGTGTTTTTACCTTTCTTGAAATAATAAAGCAAAATAAGCCAAAAAATGTAGTGTTTTCTTCTATCTTCAATATTAAAATGGCTACACAAAAATTCACCAATTTTGATGTTTCTTTTTAAATGTACGCCGATATGACAGCTGTCACAAGACAGTCTTAACAAAACTGTTTCAAACGAGGTTAAAGACAGCTAAGTGCCACGAGAGCCCTCGTACGGAAGGAAGCAGACAAACCACTGGACAAACCAATACCTTACAAACCTGCACTTCCCTCCTCCTAGTGAAACTCCGTTACGATACTGCTTTCCCTGGAATTCCCGGTGTGCGCAGCCTGATGCTGGGCCAGGCAGTGAACTCGGTTCACGCTTTTGTTGGGCCTGGAGTCAGCGAACCCCACTTCTGTGGTCTATGTCACTGTTGTCTCTCTCACCCGCATCCTCTTTCTCCTCACCACCGCCATCATCATCCCCAGCACCACCACCCACCACCGCGACCACCAGCACCGGTGGGGCAGCTGACCCCAGTGCAGGGCTCACCAGGTGCGCTGTGAATCAGTCACTCATTTCAACCTCACAACCACACTATGAGGGTGGTGGCACTAGCTTCATTCTACCTAGGACGGAGGTTCAGAGAGGCAACGTGACTGTTCAGGGTCACAAAGCTCTTCTGCAGCAGAACGAGGCTTCCAATCTGGCAGCCCGGCTGCCCTGCTGGCCAGGTGTGTTGTACTGCTTGGTTGTAATCACACCAAACTCTCCAGGGGAAGTACAGCTCCCCTCTCAATATGTTTAAGCCCCTTGGGTACTTGGTTTTGTTTCTCCTTACCTCCCTCCCCGCCTGCCCTCCTTTCCTGAAACAGCCTCTGCCAGCCACCGTCCTGCTTCAGTCCGACTGGTCTCCCTCCCAGGCCTGCGGGGCGGCCGTCACCCTGGTGCTTCCCTGCACCCCGCCCAGGATTCTGCCTGTCTCTCTCCATAGTGGGGGGGTGACCCCTTTTTGTAGATAGTCTTCATTTCTTCATTTACCTCTTGCTTGGG